CCCTCGGTTCTAGCATTCATGTGAATGGGGGGGGGGGCGGGGGGGGCGGGGTGGGCGGTGTGGCACTGACGGTCTGGCCCGCCGTGGTGGGGGTGGGGTGGGGGGGTTTGGTTGTGCGGATGCGCAGTGAGGGGGGGTGGTGGGGGGGGTGGGGGTGGGTGTGCGTCCTCCCCTGCGTGGGGGGGGGGGGGGGGGGGGGGGGGGTTGAGAGGTTTAATAGGTCCTCGGAGAAAATTAACCCACGAGATTTGAGAACCATCATCATGCGTATCATGCGTGTGTGCTCTACTTAATGCCCAATGGCCTTCCCCTACCTAGACGAGTTGATTGATACTGCCCTGTGCAGACGAGCTGAGAAATACAGAGGTCACTTGGGCGGTTTGCGAATATCACTACCGTCACGGAGCGACATCTTTCATACACCAATTTGACATTGTCCTGTCAAGCCTCATTCGAGGTAAGGAGTGTTATACGCAATGCCTACCTGTGGCTTGTAAGCGAAAGGTGAAGGAGGGAAGATATCCGTAATTGCGATGCGATTACATAACAATCCTATCTTGGGTACTATTCCTGCTCTAGCAACTCAGCCTGGGAACCAAGTATATTCTGTTAGCACCAGTAGCCATTGTACCGGAGTGGCTCAGACACCCTTAGTTATTGAGGGACCAGTGCAGGGGCTGCTGCTTTTGCTGGCCAATTGTGACTGGCGAGGGTGCTGCCTTGCGCCTGACCCTGCGCCTTCGCCGACCGTCGTTCACTCATGCACACGCGCGTTTGAGCAACGACGCGACTTCTTGCATTTGGTAGCGTCATCTCTGATTGAGTTTCTCAGTGACGAATTTTCAGGTTGTTTTTGCTTTGCGCGCCCGGGCATCTTATCAAGAGTCATCGCCGAAGATGCAGCCCCAGTACCGCCAATACGCCGCCCATGCTGGCGCACCGCAGGTTCCCCAGCGGGCTCCACATGCCCCAAATCAACGGAGAGGCGGCATCGGTATGCCCGTTCCTTCTTTACTTCAGCCTTTCGAGACCTCGGACATCCTTTCCCCTTGCTCTAGCGTTGCGCGACAAGTCCCAAAGTGCTCGAGGCGACAACAATCGTGCTAACAATGCCGCCCAAAGGTCCCATCATGCCTCCGGCTCACCATGCTCAAGCAGCCATGAACCAGGCCGCCATGGCGCAGCACCATCCGCCCGGCCAGGCCCTCACGAGCGAGCTCGCTAAGCGCCGCAGCCGAAAGCCTACCGACAAGACGCTGCCTGACGCCGTTGAGGACTGCATCACGGATGCCGAGGTCGCCCAGAGATACAAAGACTTGCGCGACTTTGAGCGTCGCCTGGATGCTGCAATGACGCGCAAGCGACTAGACATTGTCGAGACAGTTGGCCGCAACGCAAAGGTTAGTAGCCAGAGGTTACATGACTGGGAGCCCCCTTCGTTACGCGCGACAACACCACTAAGTCTCGCCTTGCAGCACTACAAAACCCTTCGCATCTGGATCAGCAATACAGTCGAGGACCAGGCATGGCAAGGAAGTGGCCTTAGCGTTGATAGCTTCGACTTCACTCCTAGCGCCGAGCCTTCTTACAGGGTCAAGATCGAGGGACGTCTGCTTGAAGACGGATCGGACAATGGGTCAGAGGAGACTGACCAGAAGACACGTTCCATAGAAGAGGATGGCACGGCCGGCTCAAGGAGACAAAGTTCTGCGCCCGCAAGCCAGAAACACCGGCTTTCCCATTTCTTCAAGGCGCTGAACGTCGATTTCGACCGCACCCGGTCAAGGGCTGCATCTGATCAGACCGTGGAATGGAAGAAGCTGACTTCGCAAACCCCGCAAAGCGCAGCGGCAGCTGGAGACTTCGACGAGTTTACCTTCAAGCGGAGCGGGGACGAGAACATGAACATCACGATTAACCTTCATCGCCAGGAGGATCCGGAGCGATATCTGCTCAGCCCTGAGCTAGCCGCTGTTGTGGATATGACTGAAGCCTCCCGCCAAGAGGTCGTCCTCGCTATCTGGGAGTACATCAAGATGATGGGTCTTCAGGAAGACGAAGAGAAGCGCAACTTCCGCTGTGATGAGCTCCTAAAAAAGGTTCGGTGTGCCTCCAATCGAGAATGATATATGTTGTTTAACTTTTCGTCTAGATTGTCAATGGTAGCGATACTGGAATCATCCCTAACTTGAATGATTATATCCAGCCGCATCTGCAGCCTCTACCCCCGGTCAGCTTGCCATACACAGTTCGTGTCGACGAGGATTTCCATAGAGATGCTCAGGCCACCATCTACGACGTGCGTGTGGCGGTAGATGATCCCTTACGGGCCAAGCTGGTGCCTTTTGTCACCACTCCTGCGTATGCAAGCGCCCTCAAGGAGGTTATTGCCATGGACGAACAGCTCGCGACACTGATCTCGGCCGTCGCCAGCTCTAAGGCGAAGCACTCATTCTTCACGTCAATGAGCCAAGATCCCGCCAACTTTGTGAGGAATTGGATGAGTTCACAGAAGCGGGATCTCGAGATCATCATGGGTGAAGCAACAAGAGGAGGTGGCGAGGATGCCGCGGGAGACGACTGGCGACGAGGTGGCAAGGACAGCGTTTGGACGACGTCGAACGCGCGCGAGAGCGTCAGTGTCATGTTGGCTAAGCAGCCCCCGCAAGCTTCTAGATGATACAAGCAACGGGACGGTTTGCGCGTGTTGGTTTTTTTCTTCTTCAATGTCGTAGGAGTTTCCTCCCCTCATGTGGACTCGGGCTGAAAAAGAGGGGCGTCAAGGGTCGAAGCTGGCTTGTGATGATACGCGATATCACACTGTATTGTATTCAAATTACCTGTAATGGATTACCGGCCTAGTGGGAGTTGATAACGAATGTTGACCAAGTCTACCAAGGCTGCGTACTTGGTACGCGTGACAGCCAGTGATGGAGGGCGTCAATGGCGATAACGCTAAAATCCGCTGCGGAGGTTTCCCCACAAACAAGGCCAGCCGTGACGTCGTCCGAAAACAGCGTTAGGTAGGCAGGTATTCAAGGAGCAGATCGATTGGCGACCTCCATTTTCCAGGCTGGCTGTGAGAGAGCCTGACTTCTCTTCCACGCAATCGACTGATTGACATCAAACGCCCACAACAACTAGCAATGACATCGATATTCGTTCCTGGCAACAAGGCCGTCATCACGGGCGGCGCATCTGGCATAGGGTTGGCAATCGCCAAGAAGTGCATCAGCCATGGGATGGAGGTTCTCATAGTTGATCGCGACACAAAACTTCTCCAGGCGGCGGTGGAAACCCTGGGGAAGTCCGCCGCTTCTTTCGAGTTGGACGTGAGTCTACTTCAGGATTGGGAGAAGCTTAGGACGAACCTGAATACTTCGCTTGGAGGTTGGTCCTTACTTCTACTTTGCCATATGCTCATCACTTTTGCCATGTGCTCATCATGGCCACACCTTGATAGGTCCCACCACATCATGAATGCTGATTGCTGCTGTAGGATGTATCGATCTTTTGGTTCTCAACGCCGGCATCGGTCTCAAGTCAACATGGCTGGACCCAGATAGCTTCCGCAAGATCTTGGACACCAACTTATATGGCGTCATCAACGGAATCAGTAGCCTGCTACCGCTTGTTGGCAGTGGTCAGTCTTCCAAGTCGGCCGTTGTCATCACGGGCTCGAAGCAAGGCATCACAAACCCGCCGGGAAACCCAGCTTACAATGCCAGCAAGGCCGCTGTCAAGTCTCTGGCCGAGCACTTGTCGTTCGACTTGAGAAATACGGCCACATCGGTGCATCTCCTAGTGCCGGGCTGGACATTCACCGGCATTTCTGGGGCTGCCCCGGGTAGGGAGAAGCCTGCGGCTGCCTGGACTCCGGAGGAAGTGGCCGACTATCTGGAGAAGAAGATGACGGAGGGTACATTCTACATCCTCTGCCCAGATAATGAGGTGACTGAAGAAATGGATCGCAAGAGAATGATGTGGAGTGTCGGGGATGCCGTCGAGGGTCGACCCCCTCTTAGTAGGTGGCGTGATGACTACAAGGACGAAGCACACGCATGGATGGCCAAGCAGTAGTACGACGAGCCTAGCGTAACTGGCTTCTCTGGGAGCAAAACAGAACGAAGAAGCCGCTTGTCGCTATCGTTTGTCGAATGATGAAGAACATACAATCATGATGAACCTCGAGTCTAATGTCTTCCTTGCCTTGGGAAAACTCCACCTCAAACGCCGCCTAAATGCAAATTCCACCGCTGCATTCCCCCTGCTTTCCCCCTGCTGCTAATGCCATCACATTGACGCATGCAACGTAGGACTGTTCCCTAGGTAGGATGTGGCTGTGCGAGCAACATGCCTACTATCGTATTAACCAAACGTCATGAGGCGATGCCTGCCATCATGTGTTAGCCACCACCCGGTATGCCATGCCTCTGAGGCGGCACTGGATTCGATGGCATATTCCTGATCTGCTTAATCAAGAACTCCCTTTCGTCAATGAATTGCTCGTCATCGGTCCTGTCTTCCAAAAAGTGAGATAGGAAAGTGAGCAATTTTTCCCGGTTCATGAGCAAGATCTTCTGGACCGCAATGGACTTATGGGGGTTGGCTACAAAGACCTTGAAGACATGAAAGCCCTCATACTGCACCATTTTGCGATCGTCTCTCAGGAGGTTCATGCAAATCTTAAGATGCTCACCACGGTCAACATAAGCGGTCATAACGCTATAGTTTGAACGATCCAGCAAGATTTCACCCAAAAGCTTGATGGACTGTCGCTTGGTAACATAGCTGTTGGACTGCACGAGGATATTGTTGTACTTGTCGAAGAATAGGTCAAAGTTCACTGAGAGGTATCTCGGCACCAGCTCCTTGTGTTTTGTGAGGAGTTCCTGCGAGACGTGGGTGTTAGCGATATGGCCCTGAACCCCCTCAGTCCCTAATCGGCATGAGAGTATACCCTGAATGTGGTGAAGGCATCCGCTGCCACTTCAAAGGAGCTCTTGTCGACCCAGTCAAAAAACCTCCAAAAGACGCCCTCGCCGCTCTGTTGACGGTCTCTGTCAATCAAGTTGATGCCCTTATTGCTGGATCCCGATTCCTCGTTGTCGTCATAGAGAATGATGGCGGCGGCAGCCTCCGACTTGAGGACCTCTCGAAGTACAGAGCCGGCGGGCGTTGCACTCTCCTTGTGTTCGTAGCCACGGCACAGCTCCAGGAGGACTTGGGGACGGTTGTTGACGACGTAGGACAGAGCTAGAGGATCGCTTTTCGGGGATGCTGTGGGCGGGCGGAAGCGGAAAACGTAGGAGAAAATTACTTGGGTATCTTTCCTCGACTCGAAGGGCAGACGCCAGAGATTGACAGCCAGCAAGTATAGTAGGTCTTCTTCAATCAAGCCAGTGACGAGCTGGTATATCTGTTCCGGGCTGCTGTCGGACTCTACAATGGAGTTAATTGCTGAATTCGAAGGCAAAGGTAGCGTGTAGGAGTGATACCGTGGGTTCCTTGTAGGATAAACTTCATCTGGTTCAGTACCTTGGCGAGCTCTTCGGCCTATATTGGAAATGGGGGTGTTAGAGGTCTACCACGTGGCAGTAGAAAATGGAGGATGCAGCCAACCTTGGCGACGCCATTCGGCCCTTCGAGCTTCGTTACGTGGTCTCTGGCTTGCTTGGGTAGGTCGATAGCGGGCCTTGTCCTAGCCCGGCCGAAGAGAAATGACATGGCGAAGGTGGTAGGCGAGGCCAAGCACTGGACCTTCTCCGGCAACTGGCGGGCGAGTTGCTTGTGAGACCACAAACGACCGAGGTTCACGGCCTCAAGAAAAAAAACGGGCGGGCCGTAGCTGATCGCGTTTACAGACAGCGTCTGGATCGGGGTCGTCGACGAAGGTCGGTAGCTGGCACCGAGGAGGCAGTGGGCTGAGATCCCAGCAGTTCGATTTGTGAGAGTGGGGCTGGGCTTCGTCGGAGAAAGATGTAGATGGTCTGTTGGGAGACGTGGTAGGAGGGGGTAGTACGAGAGAGAGAGAGAGAGAGAGAGAGAGAGAGAGAGAGAGAGAGAGAGAGAGAGAGAGGAGAGAATCTTGGCTCTACGGGCGTGGTGTCGGGCCAAGTCTGGGTTGGGGTCTTGTTTACGATAGTACAGAGTGGACGACGATACCGCCGGGAAACACTGGGGGCTGACGGCGTTGCTCTTAAGATACCTTAGTTGGCTATTTGGGGACATGAGATTGCCCTGTACCTTGGGTTCGCTCGCACGTTGCTCCGCCTCCCAGGCATGTTGTTTGTGGGCAGGCCTAGCAACAGCACCTCAGACCCCCGTCCACCTTCAGGTACTTAGTCTAAGGTAACTTATGAGGCCCAGGCGGTGACTACCTACCTCACCTTACCCTGGAGAAATGCAGGGTGGGCACCCAACTTTTAGTGAGGCGAGCCCAGGATTCGGAATGTTGCGAGAACAGCGAGCCTGCGGCCTACCCTCGCTCAATTCAGCGGACAGAGGTACCTCCCCGCGCTCCCTTACCGCTCAGGAACGTTTCTCTCAGAGCCCCCTCACCAAAGTGCCCTTGCTCAGATGACTAAGATGGTTAAGTCTGACCCCGCGCTCGATAAGTCAATTGAGAAAAAATTACCCCACTGACTCACCTCTCCCACGGAACCCCTCCAAATGCCCCAAAGTCGCCCACGTACCGACAGATCCTGAGCGCAGTCTTTGGTTTTGACTCACATGACCCATTGAGGCTTCGTCTTGGTCTTCCTGCGAGCTTTCTTAGTGTCGACGACTTGGCTTCGTACATCGTCAGAAGCTGCGCAGCACCTTCCTTCCTTCCTTGCTTCCTTGCTTGACGATACAACCGGCCTACCAGATCCTCTACTGTTTTTAGCGTGTCAATATTCGGTTCGGCAGAGCCGCAAACCGCAACCCTGCCACGTTCCCTCGCGCCGTTGTTGACTCTGACTTTGTCACCTTTCGACCACCATCATGTCTATCGACTTTCCCAAGGAGGAGGAGGCTGTCCTCCAAAGGTGGCGTGAAATCAAGGCATTCGAGCGCCAGGTTAGCTTGTCCCCTTTTGGCTTCGCAGGCAGCTGTCGCCCAATCTTTTTGCTTCCATTCGCTTTTGTGTTTGCTCCCGGACTGACAAGCAACGCACACGCAGCTCGAGTTGACACAGGGAAAACCCCTTTACACCTTTTACGATGGCCCTCCTTTCGCCACCGGTCTTCCTCACTACGGCCACTTGCTGGCCTCTACCATCAAGGACATTATCCCGAGATATTGGTCCATGAAAGGCTTCCACGTCGAAAGACGCTTCGGCTGGGACACTCATGGACTGCCCATCGAGCACGAGATTGACAAGAAGTTGGGCATCTCTGGAAAGGCTGCTGTTATGAAGCTGGGATTGAAGAACTACAATGCCGAATGTCGATCTATCGTCATGCGCTACAGCGGAGAGTGGCGCCATACCGTTGAGAGACTCGGCCGTTGGATCGACTTTGACAATGACTACAAGGCAAGATTATGTACCAGGTGATATGTGCCGCTGAGATGTGCTAACACGCGTAACATAAAGACCATGGACCCTACTTTTATGGAATCCGAATGGTGGGTATTCAAGCAGCTGTTCGATAAAGGCGCTGTCTACCAGGGCCATCGGGTCATGCCTTACTCAACAGCCCTTACCACAGCGTTGAGCAACTTTGAGGCCAATCAGAACTATCAGGATGTCAGCGACCCTGCGATCGTTATCTCATTTCCCCTGATCGAAGACCCCGAGACTCACTTGTTGGCATGGACGACCACTCCGTGGACCTTGCCCTCGCACCTGGGCCTAGCCACGCACCCTGGTCTCGAATACATCAAGATCCTTGACGAGAAGTCAGGCAAGAAGTACATCTTACTCGAGAAACTCCTTGGCACTCTGTACAAGGATGTCAAGAAGGCCAATTTCAAGATTCTTGAAAAAATCAACGGAAAAGCCATGCTCGGCTGGAAGTACGAGCCCCCTTTCAATTACTTCTATGAAGAGTACAAGGACGTTGCGTTCAGAGTACTGAACGCTACCTACATCACTGATGATAGCGGTACCGGCATCGTTCACCAGGCGCCCGCTTTCGGTGAGGACGATTATAACGTCGCCGTTGCAGCTGGCATTGTTACCGAGAACAGAGCACCTCCTGACCCTATTGACGACAGCGGCCACTTCACCAGCCGCGTCTCTGATTTTGCCGGGATGCACGTCAAGGAGGCCGACAAGCACATCATCAAGCATCTGAAGGGCGCTGGGAAGATTGTGGTCGACTCGACGCTCAAGCACTCGTACCCCATGTGCTACCGATCCGACACCCCTCTCATTTACCGCGCGGTTCCCTCGTGGTTTGTCCGCATTCCAGACATCATCCCTCAGATGCTGGAGAACATCAAGGGCTCGCATTGGGTGCCATCTTTCGTCAAGGAGCGGCGCTTTGCCAGCTGGATCGAGAACGCCCGTGACTGGAACGTCTCACGAAACCGTTACTGGGGCACTCCTATCCCACTGTGGGTCAGCGATGACATGGAAGAGCGAGTGTGTATCGGCAGCGTGCAGGAGCTGCGTGAGCTGAGTGGCTACACTGGAGACTTGTCTGATCTCCACCGAGACAACATCGACCATATAACGATTCCTAGCAAAATGGGTAAGGGCACCTTGAGACGTATTGAGGAGGTATTCGACTGCTGGTTTGAGTCCGGCAGTATGCCATACGCCAGTCAGCACTATCCCTTCGAGAACGTTGAAAATTTCGAGAAGTCGTTCCCTGGTGACTTCATTGCTGAAGGCTTGGATCAGACCAGAGGTTGGTTCTACACACTACTTGTTCTCGGTACGCATCTCTTCGGCAAGATTCCATTTCAAAACTGCGTTGTCAATGGCATTGTTTTGGCCGAAGACGGAAAGAAGATGTCGAAGCGCCTCAAGAACTACCCAGTCCCTGATTTGGTCATGGACAAGTACGGCTCCGACGCTCTTCGTCTTTATCTCATAAACTCGCCTGTCGTGCGTGCTGAGCCACTGCGGTTCAAGGAGTCTGGCGTTAAGGAGGTTGTGCAAAAGGTCTTGCTACCTCTTTGGAATAGTTACAAGTTCTTCGAAGGCCAGGTGACCCTGCTCAAGAAGGTCGAGGGCATCGACTACACCTGGAGCCCAAAGGCTCTGTCGAGTAACGAGAATGTGATGGATCGATGGATCTTGGCCAGCTGTCAGAGCTTGCTGCAATTCGTCAATCAGGAAATGAGCGGTACGCTGAGACCCCTTCACATTTCGTCACGAGCCTCTCTAACACTCTTTGACTACTAGCATACCGACTCTACACCGTTGTCCCGCGTCTGCTCGGGCTCATTGAAAATACCACTAACTGGTACATCAAGCTCAACAGAAGACGTCTCAAGGGTGAGAACGGCGTTGAGGACACCCAGCATGCGCTTAACACCCTGTTCGAGGTCATCTTTACGCTTTGCCGCGGCCTTGCCCCATTCACTCCCTTTATCACCGACACCATTTACCAGAAGCTCCGTCCATTCATTCCTAAGGAGGCCGAGGCCGAAGATGCGCGCAGTGTCCACTTCTTGCCATTCCCCGAGGTGCGCCAGGAGTTGTTCGACGAGGTGGTTGAGCGCAGAGTCGGCAGGATGCAGAGGGTCATTGATCTGGTCAGAGTATCTCGCGAGAGAAGAGCGGTCGGCCTCAAGACCCCGCTGAAGACGCTTGTAGTCATTCATCGCGAACCTCAGTACCTCGAGGATCTCGAATCTCTTTCATCTTACATCAAAGAGGAGATGAATGTTAGAGATCTAGTGCTCACATCCGACGAGGCCAAGTACAACGTCCAGTACAGCGTCACTGCCGACTGGCCTGTGCTAGGCAAGAAGCTCAAGAAGGACATGGCGCGTGTCAAGAAGGCACTCCCGACGCTCGACAGCGACGCCGTCAAGGAATACTCGCACAAGAAGGAGATACTGGTTGATGGAATCAAGTTGGAGGAGGGCGATCTCGTTGTGAGACGAGGTTTGAAGGAGGACGAGTCCTCGAAGAATCTGGAGCCGAACTCGGATAACGACGTGCTTACTATTCTAGACGCGGAGCTTCATGTTGAACTGGCACACGAGGGTCTCGCGCGAGAGATCATCAACCGCGTACAGCGTCTCAGAAAGAAGGCCAAGCTGCAGCCTACGGATGACATCAAGATGGAATACAAGGTCATCAGCGATCCTGACAACATTGGCCTCGAAGAGGTGTTTGTTTCACAGACCAAGGTCATTGAAAAGGCGCTACGAAGACCGGTGGACAAACATGTAGTCACAACAGTGGGAGGCGAGGTGCCGAGCGAAACACAGCAGGGGGTGATTGCGGAGGAGGAGCAAGAAGTGCAACATGCTACATTCTTGCTCCGCCTGCTCGAGCTTTAGATACGAAGTTTGCAGTGAGAGCACCTCTGGGCAGCTTCGACAGATGATGAATTAGTGGTTGTAAGCGACGACGGCTTAGGAGCTCCAATGAGACGTAGAGAGAGAGAGGGAGAGAGAGCGAGTTCACCAGAACCACGTTTGAGGAATAGACTGAGTCTAGTGTTTCTATCGTGATGATGATTTTCCCTTGCGGACAGCGATCTTTTGATGAAATGTCCTGCGTTAGTGATGTGATTGGACTCGGCAGAGGTTGGGAAGGGCATAATGGTGGCAAGTACAAGATAGCAATCCTTCAGTCTAAGAAACTCCTTCAAACACTTGTCCTTGTGGACAGAGTTGTAGTCGGCAACGATGCACTTGCCGTACATGGAAGTCTGTTCACCGGTCAGTACGCCTTCACATCAAAAGGTAGCTATGGCTAGACCGGCAACCGCGACAGAATAACTGACTTCAGCTGAACATTGGCCGACTGCGGCAGCAAACTTCTGGATGGGTCGTGTGCGAGCCATGACAGTTGGTTTAGATGGGTCTCGGGTAAGGAGGGGAGGATGCAAGGCGTGATTGTTGCGATGTGGGTGGAAATTTGCCGCCGCAATGTGAGGGCACGGGTGGCCGAATCTACCTGTATGAAGCTGATAATTGTTCCTTGAATAACCTTTGAGAGAAGTAGGTAGATAGGTAGGCACGTACGTTACTCAGGTGTCTAAGGTAAGGTAAGCACAATAAGTCCATGTGCAACCTGTAGTCAGCGACCAAAGATGCCAAGCACCACTATTAAATAAGAAGATTATCAGCTAAGAAGAATTTGCTCACTCACATAGGTAGGTAGAGCGACGACCTTATGTACATAGACGGAAAGGAAATGCCTGTAGTATGCACTTCGCTGAGGTAATGTGCCTTACCTAAGTTGTCAAGTCCATTGGTTTGTGCATCCAATCAGTTTTGGCAAGGGACAGGAGAAGCACAGGGGCTCAAGCTCTGGAATATAGTGGTGCTCATGCGGGTTTGCGCAGACTGTCCTATCAGAACGGCGTCGCGACGCCGGGATCAAGCGCAGCCCAGCCAACAGCAGCGTACCCACAGCGGCTACGTTGGTCTCTGCGAGTCTGCCCACGGCTCCGCCGCAGGACGCGAAATAAACAGACGGGAAGAAAGAAAAGAACAGGAAGAGAAAATAAAGACGGGGTTGGGAGAGGGCTTGGCTTGACCGCCTGCTCCTAACAAACATACTTGTGGTAAAGACTACTCCAAGTGAGGGAAGTAGCTAACACAATACCTACGTCGTGACAGCCGGCCTTGTTCTCCGTCCACCTTCAACTTTGGATCTCATTCATCGTCGTCCTCGCCAGCTAATCGTGACCTTGCATCCCATTCGCGCCTAACCCACGGCGCGCGGTGGACATGGAAGCGCCAAGACCTCATCGTTCCGATTTGCGACTCTTACGACGCGACTAAGCTCCCGCCACCAACCACCGCTGCAAAACTTGGATCCCATTCAGTTCCCTCCCCGATATCTGCCATCAACAATACATTTTGTCGCGATCCAATGTATTCGGTATCCCTAGCCAATTATACACCATCACCGGAATCGACTCGGGCTCCTTGACACTACGAAGGCAAGCTGCAATCGGCCCCGGCTAGCGCAATCACAATCATCACCGCCCCTACGCAACTCTTTTACAGCCATTTTATTATGCTCCCAGCCTGGCGCCAGTTCACATGCCGTCGCTGCCGCATCGCCCAGTGCTGGCTCCCCGTGACGGCATATCTAGCTTTGTGTCTGTCCAAAGCTCGGATTCCTATTACAGCGACCATGGTAAGTGCAGCTCGAAATGCGCCGGCACGGCATCATCCTACATCCCCTTTCCCTAGCAGCAATGGCCGGGAAGCGCATTCCGTCTGATGACCCTCCCAGAAATCGCCATACTACACAATGTCGTCACGGCAGCCCAGGAGAATCTCGAACTCCTCCCCGAGGGAGAGCGATTGGCAACGAATGCCTTATTCCAGGCCTATGACGCCGTACTTCCGCTTTTCGGCATTGATCCGGAAGAAGATCATCACATCTCGCGCCTCGTATTCCGGATCGGTGGCGAACGCGGCGAAGGGTCACTTGTGGAAAAGCTTCGCGCCGTCTTGTCAAGGATGGGCATCGGGCTGGAATTCGATAGTCGAAGTGACGGTTCCAGGGTTTTATCAGACAACAGCGCCGGCGACGAAAACGGAGACGGAGACGGACCCGAATCTGAGGACGCTTCTCCGCCGCAGCCTGCGCTTACGGAGACCGACCGGAACTCTGACACAACTGGGGAGGAGTCTTCCCAGGAAGTCGACTTTGCACCGCGAGATCAACACCGGTCTCTGCCATTTTCGGAGGCGCAAGCATCACATCGCTTGGACGATGCCGAATCTCCCCCAAGGCTAACGCGCGTGGGCTTGGTTTCGAACCAGGTGGATCTGAAGCCTATCCACCATACCAAACCAACATACCCAAGTTATACAACCCCGACGGCTGGAAACACAGAACAAAGTCGCCAAAGCCGGCAATACATATCTAGCACCACTGTGCAACATGGCGCCAGCGACACCACAGTTCAACCCAATGAGCCTTCTCATACCCATCCTGCGAATGAGACCGAGGCGACCTCCCTGCCTGTCCGTACAAAGCCTGTGCGAACGGTGAATTGGCTGCTTCCGCCCGACACTGCCAGTGTTACTGCTAGCACTAGTGCCACTGCCGCTGCCCCGGAGCCGGTACCAAATGGAGGCAGGCTTCCCGAGATTGCGGAAGACCCTGTTTCCCATGAGACTGAGATACAGGGCCTATGTGAACATGAGCCAAGTGTGCAAAGGCCCTTGGTGCCTATGCCTCTTGTACATGGATCTACGGTGCAGGAGCGTCCCACCCATCAATCAGTTAAACAACAGCAACCAGCCGAGAAACCCTCTGAAGACGGAATTGAGCATGCTGAAGCAGAGCGACTGGCCGACGACGACGATAACGCTGAAGACCCCGATGAAGAAGCAAGATATGCGGTGTTGGAGTGGAAATCGACGAAGGTGAAGGGGTACTTATTACTTCTTCGAGGATTGTCACACTGGAAACAACACGCTCTCGACAAACTCGAACGAATGGCTGTGGCCAGGAGACACATCTTGCGTATGCGTCACTTCGACCCGTGGGAGCTGGCGACCGCCGAAACTAGGATACGGGGTCGCCGCGTATTTACTTCACGTCTGATGGCTTCGTGGCTCAGACGCGCCGGTGATGACTTTGGCACGGAAGACGCCGCCTTGACTCATGCCCAACGAAACATTGTCCACAACGCCCTTACACAGTGGTCAGCCTCCTGCATAGCTCCCACGGAGCCTCAACATCCGCCTCGAACTCTGTGCATTTATCTGCGACAATGGCGTTCAGCTTGCTCAATTTCACAGGGACTAAGATCACATGTGGAAGATCTTTATAGAGAACATGAAAGATTTCGGGTATTGAAGACTTGGCATGGCCAAGCAGCGTCTCACCATAAGGATGTTGCGGCATTTCGCAAATACCATGTTGTTCAGGACCCTTTGAACCAGTGGCATCTTGAGGCTAGGGTGGAGTTCTTCAAGTCCAAGATGGACATCAAGCTTGTTCGCAGCTGCTTATCGAGATGGCAAAGCGCGTGCAGAGCGCCACCGTCGCTTGGCCAGGCCAACGCCTTTGGCCGCGGAAGTGCTATAGAGTCTGGGACTAGTGTGGCTTTGCCCAAACAGCGGCGAGGCGCTGGTTCCCTCATGGCAATATCGGATCGCCTGCTGAAGACCAAAGTTCTTGGCAATTGGCAACGACAAGCTTCGGTAGTCGCCAATGCGAGCACGAGATCACTTCGGTTTGCAGCGCATCAAGGGGCGCATAAGGCGTTGGAGATGTGGCATATCGACGTCAGCGAGAAAAGAAGCTTTCACAAGTGGGCGCAGCGCGGTTGTTTCTATGTTAGTGCCACACATGCACTCAAGACATGGCGATCCAGATCAACGTGGAGGTCAGTCACTCGAAAATCCTACGCACGATGCAGACAGCATGTCAAGGCTACCTTTACGAAAGGATATCTCAATCTCTGGAAGACTGCTACTCGAGCCCACGGAAACTTGGGCTGGAAGGCGGGCCAGCACCACGTTGTGGTGCAACATGACCGTCTCGTGCATATGTTGAATCTATGGCGAGATGAGAGTAATCACGACTGGGGCACAGGTAAGCTGTTGGCCGCCGCATGGGTGGACGAATGGCACAACATGTCCCAAGACCTCGCAGGCAAAGAGGACCTCGTAAATCAGGCTTGGTCAGTGAACCTGAAGTCACGTTGGTGGAGTCAGTGGCAATCATCGTTGCTGCAATTAAAGAGCAGAGAATATGTGGCACTGGACGTCAGGGAGAGGAACAGCAAGAGAACTGTACGACGCCTTCTGCTACACTGGAAAGGGGATAGAAATTTGAGCACATCTCACCATTCAACCACGCTCAGAGCTAGTCTCGGCAGCTCAAGGAGAGGCGCTGGTTTCGTGGCCAGCCGCACTTCACTGCCACTTTCGAGGGCAGTTCATGAACGAGCCAGCGGGCCGATCAGGGGTTCTAGAATACAGGAAGTCGAGCCAACGGCCGACGAGGAAGATCACGACGGAGCCGGGTCTGGACCCGATGCTGATGTAGTTGTGGCGAACACGCCAACCCGATGGACGGGCATGGCGTCCTCCGTGAGGCTTCCGTCCATGACACCGTTTGCTCCCCTGCCAACGCCGTTCGAGCGAGAGCTCCGCGAACGTTACAACAGGAGTATGCCTACAGCTGCCACTGGTCAGTTGAGCAGCCTCTCCTTCGCACAGGCGCAAAGGCTCTCTATGGCTGGCACACGGCCAGCAGCCAATGAGAATACAGCCGATATTGGCAGAGGTGGTTGATAGAGCCTCAGCGGAGGTCTAGGACGGCCCTCATTGAGAACGGATTATATGCTATGGTCATGTGGACAATTTTAAGGTGTTTGGAAACATTCAGCCAGTATACCCAGATTAGTTTTGCATTGCCAAACCTTTTGGCATAGACTGGGAACGAACGTTCTTTTTTCCTTCTTGTGCAAGAGGTTGCGCCGCATCATTACCTGATTTGGTGGAAGGTCGGGTTATGAGGTAATTGGTAGGAGTCGGGTAAGTTAGGCTCACAGGCGCAACGGGGAAGTCGTCTGGTTGCGGAAAAGGAACACTGAGACTCTGCATGTTATTCTGCGAGCATGCCATTCCGTCTATAGACTGCGTATCTGTCATTAGGCAATCAAGTTCCCAGTAGCGAACGATGCAGGCCAAGTCGTGGTAAAGGATATTTATATATGATCTTCCCTGAGCTAGTCGGGGCGTAAGGCATCCTACCTGCGGTAGCCCAGCCCAGGCCATCACGAGACGGGAGCCATCAAACTTAGGCGCACAGCGACTATTTAGATTGGACAAGACATGCCTACCTACCTACTTCAAAATACATTTATGCAACAAAAAAACGAGAGTGAACATTTAAGTCAGTCACTTGAGCATTCTATTACAAACCCTTAAAAAAAATAACTTGGTTATATCCGTAAGTGTTTCCAATTAGCAGATTAATGTTGTATATATAGGGTGTCGTGAACCTTGCATTTGACGAGGAACATTACAGCACTGGACTATCCGTACGGTCCCTTACCTAGGTAACCTGGAAGCCACCCCGGAGGTACCTAGGCACTTACTGGGGTGCTTTATCTTATCATCCAATTCGTTGGCTTGCAGATGCGACGCACCGGCTCCACTCCCCTTGTTCATGAACTGACACCCTGTGTGCTTGTGCAGCGGGAATACGTAACCTGCAGTCCAAGTTTAAGGTCCTCATGACACTGGCATTGACAGGATCTAGTCTGTGGCAGAGCTCGATTTGCACCCCAAATCAACCCACGAGCTTTGGGAAGGCAAACTTTTTCAGATTTTGACGGAAGCCCATCCGGCGATATTCGGCGACAATCGATCAGGCAGCCTCGGCATTACGTCCGCCTAAGCAATGCTGCTGTGGCTCTCCTGCTAGTAGGATGAGAGCAGTCCTCCCAGGTAGGCCGAAGTCTGGGCTCCAAGCTCTTGCGACGGGCTTCTGGGACTCGAGGCACTTCAATGTGAGCAATCAGACTATACCCTTACGCCCTAACATCGTCGTCACTGCCATGATGCTGACATCTGGTCATCAAGGTCTACATAACCGGCAGCGCATTTACCATCCTTGGCGATGCCGAAACCATCGTTCAGACAATATACGACGACGACCCGAGCCACTTGAGGGCCGTGGCCTTCGACGAATCCTCGGGCAAGATCGCGACCTGCACTGATGCCGTCGTTAGAGTCTATAAACCTTTTGGGCAGACCGAAAATGCCCTGAAGGTGAGTTCGTTGTCTCTGCCAATGCGACTTTGTCTTCGCCCCTGGACTCCATCTCCCATTCCGTCGCCCGCTCCGCACCTTTCGCCCATACTAGCTTGCGAACAACCACTGACGACACTTCTGCGTATCAGTGGGGGCTACAATTATCGTACCCAGTTCCCGATCGTCAGAATACTACCGATGCAATTTCTCTAAGCTGGGGCGCCACTGAGGAGCTACTGGTTGCCTGCTCTGCCCTTTACTTATACTCGACTGTCGACGAGCCAGAACAGCTGTGGATCAAACGTCTTCCGACTTCTGTGAAACTCGCAGAGATATCCTACGATTCAGCATACATAGCATCTGTAGGCGCACATGACTGTCTAGTCAAAGTCTGGCGCCGCTTGACGTATGGCGCTGAGGATGTGCGCTTCGACCTGGCCTACCTTCGCCACCCAGATGTAGTGACGAGCCTTCGTTGGCGGAAACCGTTTCACACCGACCAGACTGTAGAGAACGTTCTCTTTACGACGTGCGCCGATAATGTTGTCCGAGTGTGGACTAGCACTGACACGCATGCCTTTCGACACATGACCCTATGGGGGTCCGTTGACGTGGCTTCGTCCCTCCGATATCTCAGTCCGTATCCTACTCCGACTACAGCACCGCTCATCACCTTCCTCATCGATGGAAGAGAAGTCTCTGCTGCCACAGAGCTGGCCGTTCAGCGGCGTTCAATAAAGGAAGAACCACGAGATGAAGCTCTTGAAAGCCTCATTTCCTTGGCCAATAACAGCGCCGAGCTTTGTGTTGCTTCTGACGCCATTGGAAATATGATGGTTTTTGCGTTCGAGGACGTGGGCTCCAAGACGAGCAAGTCCAAGACCGCCATCAAAGTGACAAGCTTCAAGTCGCAAACGCTTGACTTCAGGTCTAATCAATACGTTGACATACAAAGCTATTGCGATCGGCAAACCGGGCGACTGCATGTGCTTGTTCATGACTTTGATGGTCAGATCCAAGTTTACGACGCAGACTTGGTAGAGTTCCTAGGCAGAATGAACAAGTCAAACCGTCTTACTCGGCGCTGTAGCTGGACTGGCCATTCAGCGCCTATTCAAAAAATGGTGCGAAATTTTAGTGGTCGAGCTGTTGTTTCTAGAACTGAAGAAGGCGAAAGCATTGTCTGGACGCATTCTGAAACTAGTCAGACCAGCTTGTCACGCCAGAGTGTCATTCAGGGAGGCGTTCACATCCATCGAATTTGTGTCTTGCGCAAAGGTCGTTTTGTCATATTCCTGGAACACGAAAAAATATCTCTATGGGACTGTCGGCACCAGAAAGCAATATTGCTCGCGTCTCAATCGTACGGGATTTCAGGCAAACCACTATGCTTGTTGATTCTCCCTCGGCATCGAATCGAGGAGTATGCTGTTGCTCACATTGCAACCGTTACGTCCGAGCAGGAGGGCCTTGTTTGGGAAGTTAACCTACCTCGATACTCCAGTGAAGGTGCTGATGCATACGCCAACGGCCCAGAGGAGATCTCGATTTGTGAATTTTGCAAATTCAAACTGGAAGACGCCGAGGGAATCGCTTACATGCTCCCTGTCGATCCGGCGGGATCTAAGCCCGCAACGTCCGGCTTTCTTGATGTGTTTGCCAGGGACATCGCAGTTTCATATACCCACACAGGACGGGTAGATTTCTGGACAGCGAGAGTCGGCAGCACAGGGAAAAATGTCGGATGGCTTTCTACCTCCTCGGCAGAAACAGGCCTTGCGGAGCCGGCCCTCGTCAGCGGCAGTACTCTGAAGAAAGCTGCAATCGTGGATTCCACAAGGTCTCGGTTATCTATTTGGGACATTGGTGGTGCTCGACTCGAGTTCACGCAAGACTACGGAAGACACAACACGATTCAAGACCTTGACTGGACTTCGACCCCAGATTCGCAATCTATCCTTGCCGTTGGCTTTCAATCCAAAGTAATACTGCTCTGCCAGATGCGGTTTGACTACTTGAACAAGGGACCAGCCTGGGCCGCAGTCCGGGAGATCAGTATTCGTGAACTCACTCCTCACCCGATAGGAGATTCGACCTGGCTGGGCGATGGACATCTCGTCATCGGTTCAGGTAATCAGATGTTCGTTCATGGGAGGGAGTATGATCTATCCGGCTCTCTGATCAACAGCCTGCAGCTACCGCACAGGAAGAACGGGGTCTGGGATCTCTTCGACGCCGTTCAAAGGTTTAACGGCCCTCTGCCGGTTTTTCACCCTCAGTTCTTGAGCCAATGCATCCTTGCAGGCAAGAGCAGCATAGTCCGAACGATTCTCTTGTCGCTGCACAGAACCCTCAAGTTCCTCATTGCGGGTGAGACTGTTGATGACTACCTGGGACTCGAACCAGAGGTTTTCTACACAACTGGGGTGAGGCTTTTGGTTATTTGATTGACTGTTACTCTCACCAAAAGTGGAATATGTGCTAACAAAGATATTCACTAGGCCTCGCCGATGCAAGCATCTAGGGCCCAATTAGGGTCTCGCTTTAGTTTTCAAGTATCTGCGAACGAGACAGACGAGGCAGACGAAGCCTTTAGCGAAGAAACCGCACTTGCCATTAATGAGCGTCTTACCAAGTTTGGTCTTCAACAGCTGTCAGGCCATGAGCAAATACAATTAGCCGATATCGTTGAATGCGTTGGACTTGTCGAGAAACAGCGCAGGTCTCTGGACGAGAATGGTGCGCGTTTCATGCTCTTTTTCCGCCAGCACGGGCTTCGTAAGGGCCGGACAAGTGAGATTCAGATGTCCTGGCGAGAGATCAACTGGGCCTACCATTCGACCAGCCAGGATATTCTTGTTGATTTCGTTTCCAAGCAATGTCACAGTGCAATGCGTTGGGAGGATGCTCGGGAAAGCGGCATGTTCATGTGGCTCAGCGATCGCAGTGCCTTGGTACGCTAGCCCCATCTTCACCACCAAAGAGTGTGTATGAGCTAACAACACGTGTCGTAGCTTGCGCAATTCGAATTCGTTGCACGCAACGAGTACACCAAGAGCGAGATGAAGAACCCTGTTGATTGTAGCATCTACTATCTGGCTCTGAAAAAAAAGACAGTCCTCCAAGGACTCTGGCGAATGGCTCACTGGAACAGAGAGCAAGGAGCAACGCAGAAGTTGCTGGCCAACAACTTTGAGGACCCGAAATGGAGGACAACGGCGCTGAAGAACGCTTATGCTCTGTTAAGCAAGCGACGCTTCGGTGAGTCGCAAAGCGTACCAATGAGCTTCGAAGACTAACATTATGGCACGCAGAATATGCTGCAGCGTTTTTCTTACTTGCGGATCACCTGCAAGACGCTGTCAATGTCTGTTTGAATCAACTCAAGGACCTTCAGCTCGCAGTAGCGATCGCGCGCGTTTACGGTGGTGACCAAGGCCCGGTATTGAGGAAGCTTTTGGAAGAGGAGGTGCTGGCTGTGGCCGCCAAGGAGGGTAACCGTTGGCTCGCATCATGGGCCTTCTGGATGTTGAACCGTAAGGACATGGCGGTCCGGGCCCTGATTGTAAGTCCCGCCATACCAGTCTCAAATACCTGTCTCTCTGATACCTAACGCATGCGCGATACCGTAGTCACCGGTATACACTCTGGTTGAGACCCCGTGCTCCCCCGATATGCGATCGAAATTGTTCCTCACGGACGACCCAGCATTAGTGGTCCTTTATTCGCAAATGCGGCAGAAAACACTCCAGACTCTTCGCGGAGCTTCAAAAGTTACTCCCCGCGTCGAATGGGAATTCGTTCTCCACAGCGCCAAACTCTATGACCGAATGGGTTGCGATCTTCTGGGCCTGGACCTAGGTAATCCCCTCGCGATGGTATGCGTAAGACTGAATGAGATTTAACATGGCAGTAGTTCGCAACTGGGAGTTCCTGAAGCCAGCTCCGAGAATCGCTAACGGATTGGGCGGTGAGGTCAACCCGCTGAAGCTACTGCGCCGACGCAGCTCGCTTGTGGTTGCAGATCTGCCGGTGTCGAGCCTTCATGTGGAGATGAGATCCAAGGGGCAGGTAAATCAGTCGAACCCAACGGTTTTCCAGGAACCGGACTCGAGCTCGCTGCTCGACAGTTTCGGTTTCTAGTTACTAGAGCAGAAAGGGGGCTACTTCCGTCTTCATACCAATATGACAGGAGGGCTGTAAAAGTTTCCGGCACTGTTCTCATAATACATCAATATCTATGACTGGAGATGATCGCCTCAAGATGTCAGAGGTTCAGAGAGATTTGCCCGTCGGAAACGCTCAGGGAAATGATGTTTCTGCTTACTAAGCAGACTCTCTTGGAAGCCGATTTTCTCCCTTCCAAGCACGTCATCTCCAGCTGTTGCCGAGCTCCGTCCGGACCGGAACCGGGACTGGGCTAGCGCTCCCTGCTGGCTGCATCCATCGCAGCTCGAATCAGCGCAGTGACCGCCGTTTGCCTGCGAAAGCGAGTCGTGCGGGGCCCTATTCTATGTCAGGCAGTCAGAAACATTGACAATATCTGTTTTTCGTACGTGGGGTTCCAAAAGATAAGGATCCAATTACGAATACGGATCCCATATGTCGACTTGAAGCTCTTATGAGGGGCGTCGCCTGTATGCTTGCTGCCTTATGTAATTGACCATCAGCCTCTCCGTTATCTCACCGTGTACGACGTTCCTTTTCCACCTTCAATTGAGCAAAAGGAACGCCAGGCAGCGCCATCCTCAGTCTTTTACAGGCATTCCCATGCACGAACCCGCCGGGTTAGTATCGATCCAGACGCCAGGTTGGTCAGCACGCCTTTGACGTATAGCGAAGTTGTAAAACGTCTTCTACCTCGCCTCCGGACACTCTAGTCAACCTTTTTATCTTTTTACGTCGCAGCACTGCCGGATAAGGCTTCATGACCCAGACTATGGCGCCTGATCGGGGATATCGCGATGACGCCGATGGTGGTCTTCATGATGCTGTCAGCAGCAGCATCCACACACCAAGTGCGCATGATACATACCCCGAGAATGCTCTCGAGCGTGTGCCTGTCATACATGGTCGCAGCTTCACCCTCCGCGGTGTTGCTGTGGGCCTGTTGGTCGGCTTGGTCATTTGCTTCTCCAACATGTACTTTGGCCTGCAGACGGGTTGGGTGAGCACCATGACCATGCCAGCCAGCTTGATGGGTTTCGGCATATTCAAGGCCCTGTCTCGCCACCTTCGCCTTCCCTTCAGTCCTGTCGAGAATGTCCTCGTCCAGACCGTGGCTGGAAGTATGGCCATCATGCCACTTGGCTGCGGGTTTGTCGGTGTGGTATGACTCTCATGTCCGAGGCTTTCTCACTTCTTCGTACAACTTGATGTGATGAAACAGACCAGGCCGATAGCTGACACATATCTTCTCTGCCCTTAGATTCCTGCCATGAACTATCTCCTGACTCCGGAAGAACAAGGGCCCCTTAACATCCCCTTATGGAAGTTGATCATATGGTCCCTTGGCCTCTGTTATTTCGGTGTTGTCTTTGCTGTCCCTCTGTGAGTTGGCCGCGGAAAGCTTGCCCGCCGAGCTTCAATCTAATCTCCAATGCCAGCCGACGACAAGTCATTATTCGAGAAAGGCTCCGTTTTCCTAGCGGCTTCAGTACTGCCGTTCTCATTGGAGTTCTCCATGGTCAGACGCGGAAGGCCGGCCCAGACGCCGTGTCAGGCGGCTTCGCGAGTCTCGTGCCGGATCACGATACGAAGCCCGACTCAATACTGGAGGCCGGCCACAGCCCCAACAATGCCGATCCTGAAAATGCCAATTTTGACGGCCCCGAAAGTCATTCCCAGAAGGATTGGGCTCGGAATGTGAGGCTACTGCTCATTTGCTTCGGGATCTCAGGGTTTTACACTTTCTGCTCCTACTTTTTCCCTGCATTGCGAAGTATTCCCATATTTGGCACCGATGCTGCAGGCATTTGGCTTTGGACGCTCAACCCGAGCCCGGCCTACATTGGCCAAGGCATCATCATGGGCCCTGAGACGACTTTGCATATGCTGCTGGGTGCCGTGATAGGATGGGGTGTCCTGTCTCCGCTAGCCAAGTATCGGGGCTGGGCACCCGGTTCCATCGACGACTGGGAAACAGGCAGCAAGGGTTGGATTGTGTGGATCTCCTTGGCTATCATGCTTTCCGATGCTATTGTCAGCCTCAGTTACATTGCTTTCCGCCCCTTGGCCCGACGTGCCGCAAATGAAGGCATGAAGGAATTATGGCTGGAAGTTGTACTCGGCTGGCAGAAGCTTTTTGGATCCCGCCGACGGTCAAGTCGGACATATTCTGCACTGGACACGGATGAGGATCTTGAGCCAACGAGTACCTCCCGGCTTTTATCCGATGAGTCGCGTTGCTCTGTGGTCCATCGTAGGTCTTCAACATCGAATGCTCGCGATACTCGCCCCGACGAAGCAGACGCGCCAGAAGATCAACAAATTGACAACAAGCTTGTCGCCGTGGGGCTTGTTCTGTCCATTCTGCTCTGTGTCGCCACCATTCACATCGTTTTTGGCGACCTGGTTCCTCTTTACGCCACGATTGTTGCCGTCTTAATGGCTCTTCTGCTCAGCATTATGGGTGTTCGGGCACTCGGCGAGACGGACCTGAACCCCGTGTCTGGTATCAGCAAGCTTGCGCAACTATTCTTCGCCCTCATCATTCCCCAGTCACACAAGTCGAGTGTGCTCATCAACTTGGTTGCGGGCGCAGTAGTAAGTGCCAATTAACCTCCAACTTTGCAGTATGAGCAAGCACTAACTGTACAATCTAGTCCGAGGCCGTATGTAACTCACTGCCGCGCTGTCAATCGTATTGGGACAGAAGCTGACTTGTCCAACTTAGGGAGCTCTTCAAGCGGGCGATCTGATGCAAGACCTCAAAACGGGCCATCTCTTGGGAGCCGCACCCAAAGCCCAATTCTGGGGCCAAGTAATCGGAGCAACAGCGGGCGCTGTGGTCAGTGCCTTTGTGTACCAACTCTACACAGCGTTAGTCACAAGGACAGCCTCCGTTATTGTCTAGAGACTGACCAATTTTTGTCAGAGTTTATACGATCCCGGGTGATCTCTTCCAGGTCCCGACGGGATACGTGTGGATCTTCACAGCCAGGCTGGTGACGGGTAAGGGCCTGCCGCCCATGGCGCGTGAATGGGCGATTGGCTTTGGCATTCTATTTGCTATTACGACTGTTGCTAGGACCGTGGTAACCGGCAAGCCTTGGCGGTCGCTTGTGCCGGGAGGTATCGCCGTGGCAGTCGGTAAGTGTGGCTTGGGAATTCTGTCTTACCCTAATAGAGATCTGAGGCAAGGCTGACTTGGAGACGGCAGGGATGTACAACGTCCCATCCTTCACCCTGGCCAGGACTGTTGGCGGCCTACTGAGCTGGTACTGGATCTCCAGGCGAGGCGAGTCGAGCACGCCATTGATCGTGCTGGCATCGGTGGGTACTATAGAATCGCACTCGCATACAGCAAGGAGCGGTTGCTGACGCATGATGTTCTTTAGGGCTTCATACTCGGTGAAGGATTTCTTAGCATTGTGAATCTCATCTTGCAAAGCGCCGGTGTCCCTCACTACTAGAAGTGCAGGTATGGAACGATGTGAGCAAGGTCATGGTGTATGGGGTGTCCTAGGCAAGGAAGAACGAGAGACGCAGTAGGGGAGAAGGACAGACGGGAGACGGCAAGTTGAGAAGGGGAGCGTAAGGCCTTCGGCAGAACTGCAATGCGGAAAACTGCATTTCGAGGTTGGTCATTATTGCGAGTGGTGCGAGGAAAATGCTCCATTGAGATCTTTAGGTTCTAGACGATCTAAAGTCGGATACTAAGCCTTTTTTTTTTCTGTCCATTTTCTTTTCCTTGTGATTTACATTCCGCCTCTTCACCTTCCTTTAAGTGACTTGGTAAAGTCGATTGAGCCAGTAGGATGTGGGGTAGAGGGGTAGAGGGGTAAGGTACCTAGACGGGTGGAGGGGTGGAGGGGCAACGTATCGGTGAGGGCAGAAACAGAAAATGAGAATACTTTGTTAAAATTGTGCCAGTCATGGAAAATCCAGCCAAAAAATAAGTGCAGAAAGACAGGACTCCGACGGGCATCTCTACCCAAAATAAGAGAGGCTTCCTACCTTATCAAATGTCAACGCCGTCGATAACTACCTTAGGTACCTTACTCGTGGTACCTTGGGTGGACTAGTCCACCCAGCTTCAGTGGACGACTCCTTACACTCCATTACCTTACCTAGGTGCCGGCGGTCTTGCCTGCCCCTTCTAAGGTAAGGTTCCAAATTATTTTTGGGCCCCGGCACAGTCCCACAAGCTTAGAGAGGAGGAAAATATCCATTCCCTCACCCAATCTCTGAACTCGAAAGTGACATCAACTCGAGGAAGGCATTTCCACCAAGAAGACCTGAGGAACATAAATCAACAACGAAGTGTTTCATATCCTAGTACTTTCCTGGTTGTCTGAATACTACGATACATCTGAAGTCGACTGGAAACTGAGCAAGGCCAAACGGGGAAAAAAAAAAGGGAAAAAAGAAAGAAAAAAAGGGTAAGATAAATAGAAGCAAATGTCGATTCGGTCGCCAAAAATGATCCAGGACGATCTCAAAAACAACATCGGCGCCGATTCCGATGTGTCGTCTGACGAGTCTGACTGGGATGACGCCGAGCTCGAAGAGGAAGAGTCCCAATTGTTCATTTCCTTGCTCGACGATGCTGTCTTCCCTGACCTCGACGCCATGCTGTGCCACTGCCGCATGAAGCACAACTTCGACTTCCTCGCCATCCGCCGTCGGCTTGGCCTTGACTTCTTTGGCACCGTCAAGCTTGTCAACTTCAGTAAGTCCGTAGCCTGAGATGTGGTGTGCAACTTTAACATCTAGCCAACCCCCTAGCCCTAGTCCCCCTTGAGATGGAAAGCTCACTGACTCATCCATGTAGTTCGCCAACGCATTCACGACGGCGCTGCCCTGCCCGAGGCCATCTCTGTCGACGATATTGCTGATGAGCGCTACATGAAACCCGTCATCGAAGACGATGCCTTGATCATGGCCCTTACCGAGCTGGATCTTAACGATGAATCGCCAGAGCACCCTCAGCAGGCACCGCAACAGGGTGCCTCTCGGGAAGCTCAGCTCGAGGAAGAGTTGGCAAGGCTCCAGTCCCAATTCGCAAACTACCGCACCGCCGTTGAGCAGACTCTTGACCAGCGCTGGGGCGAAGATACCCCCGATGCAGCCGAGGGCAAGAAGTCGCGTGATCCGGATGACAAGGGCGTCCGGAAAGATGAGTCTCAGTACTATTGGGAGTCATATGCCTCTAATGGTAGTTGACCCTTATCCTGAACTTCCAGCTGCCTAGTTTGCTAACATGCCCCCTAGACATCCACGAGACGATGCTGAAGGACAAGGTTCGAACAGACTCCTACCGTGATTTCGTCTACAACAACAAGTCTCTTTTCAAGGACAAGATCGTCCTCGACATCGGCTGTGGCACAGGTACGTCTGGCCCCAAAAGCGACTGCCAGCTTTGTAGACCTCCTTTGTATCTAAACTATGATCTCTGCAACAGGTATCCTGAGCATGTTCTGCGCCAAGGCCGGCGCTAAGCAGGTCTTTGCCGTCGACAAGTCTGACATTATCGACAAGGCCCGTGAGAACGTCTTCAACAACGGCCTCGCCGACAAGGTAACCTGCATTAGGGGCAGGGTAGAGGACATTAGTCTTCCTGTCGACCAAGTTGACATCATCATCAGTGAATGGATGGGCTACTGCCTGCTTTATGAGGCCATGATGAACAGCGTTCTCGTCGCTAGAGATCGTTTCCTCAAGCCCGACGGCCTCATCGCCCCGAGCATCTCCACCATTTGGGTGGCACCCGTTTCGGATCCAGAGTACATCACCGATTTCGTTACTTTCTGGGATGACGTTTATGGCTTTGACATGAAGTCGATGAAGGAGGGCATCTACGACGAGGCTCGAATCGAGATCATGCCGGAGGACTGCATCTGCGGCACACCTTCGCAGATTTCGTACATTGATTTGCACACTGTCAAGATTGAAGACCTCGATTTCGAGACTCAGTGGAAGTCGAAGCTGACCAAGGACATTCCGTCACTTGACGGCTTTTTGACCTGGTTTGACATTTTTTTCACCACCTCTCGCAACAACTCGATCCCGGCGGATCTGCAGGTCAAGGTCGGAGACATCAGTGTTACCAGGCCCGGCGAGGTGGCCTTCACTACCGGCCCTGCGGGTCCTGACACCCACTGGAAGCAGGGTTTCCTGATGAACAAGCATCTTGAGGAGAAAGCCAGTTTTACGGCTGGCGCCGAGATCTCTGGCTGCATTGTCTTCAAGGCACCCGAGAATAACCCTCGGGCGCTGACCATCAGCAATACGTGGACCGTTCCAGGTCAGGACAGCAGGACGCAGCTGTGGAAACTGAGATGAAGGAATAGTAGCCTCCGAATCCGCAAGTTCGAGATCATTGTTGTTTGGCAGGGGACTGATAGGCAAAGATGGCTCGCAGAAGTCGGCCAGAGTTCATCATCATGAAAATGGACTTCCAACTTGGCCTACACAATCATATCCACTTTATTTCAGGATGCAATGGATCATAGCCAGGTGATTGTCCGCATGCCTGCATACCATGCGCGAATCTCACCCGCGTGGCCCCGTCTTTGTAGAGACATCACTACACCGTAGAGGACCAAGGTCAGGATTTAAAAAAGCAGGCAAAGGCAAACCGGCTGGGTGGTTGCTTAGTTAGTCCCGAGATCAAAGAAGATACAGTTTCAGAGACCACATCAACAGGGGCCCGAAGCATCGAATGCCCTTTACCCAACACCTGTGCATGTGGCTGATGGTCATCCGGATTGCTAGGTATCGTGGTGAAGGTTCATTAGTTTGATATGCCTTTCGGATCCTCGCTTTTTGTGCCGTCTTCATCTTTGTCTTGGTCATCTTCTTCTTCATTTTCCTCCTCCTCGCTGCCTTCATCCTCGTCTTCTTCGCCATCAGATACCGTTTCTCCAAGCTCTTTGAGTTTTGCCTTTGTATGCACCAGATTAGCCCGAGTGAATCGCACAGTACTTTGATTATGACTTACCCTGTACATGGCTGCCTTCTCTTCTAGGTCGCCAAATACCATGAGCAAATCATCAAGCTCATTCTGAGTTGCTTTCCTATCTTCCTCGGCCTTCTTGATAATCACGTCGCACTGGGGAACAACGTTAGAACACACATTCTTCGCAATGGTCAAGGTTTCAGCAGTGGATCTGCGCACCTGGGCAACCCTCTCTCGCGTCTCACGTAGGTCCTTCTCTAGTTGCTCCACACGGGCGTTGGCTTTGGTGAAAAGGCTCTCCTGGTCGAGCGCCTTCTTTTCAAGCTGTTCCCGGGTGGCTTGGATCTCCTGCACCTTGGTCTTCTTGGTCTGTGAATGGGTCAGCTCTACATACAAGTACCATTGCGATTGTCTAGTCACCTTCATGAGATCAACCTCAAGACGGCTTATGGTAGCCTTGAGATCTGCCATGTCCGCCTCAGACCGATGGCGAACGCGATGTGCATCCGACTCGGCCGTCTTGCGCACCTGTTCTAACTGCTTGCGATGTTCCTCAGACTGTGAGGCTGCTTGGGCTTTGGCGATCTGCCGCGCTTGCTCGGCCTGTTTTTCAAGCTCCTCCTCGAGCGCCCGGATCTGAGAAGCTGCGTTTCTCTGTACCTCCTCAAGTTGCTTCTCGTTCTGTTTCTCAAGGGCTGCGACGTGAGCGGCTGCCCTTCTTTGATCCTCCTCTGTTTGCTTGCTGTATCGCTGTTCCATGGCTGCAGCCTGAGATTCCATCTTCCAGGATATCTGCTCAATCCGCTTCTTGTGCTCTTCCTGAAGACTTGTTATTTTACTTTGAAGATTCCTGAACAGTCCGTTGATTAGCAATATCACCATACATCAGTGATTGGTACTGACCGTAGCTCTGCGTCGTGTTGTCTCTGCATCCCCTCATTGACTTGGTTGATTCTCGCCAGTTCCATGGCAGTCGTCTCCCGAATTCGCCGATGGTCGTTTTGTTCCTGGCCGAGTTGTCGACTTAACGTCTCTAAGCTGACTTGAGCTTCCTGCAAAGCCTGCTGCTTTTCAGCCAATTGATTCCGCAGCGAGTCTACGAGTTCTCTGGAAACCCCTGTTTGGACGCCATTCTTGACCACGGAAATTTCCAGGCCAGGGTCTCGGTCGATGCCGCGCAAAATTCGGCTGTAGTTGTCTTTGAAGAAGTCGATAAAGGTGGAATCGAAGTAAACATCAGGCAGGCTGCCTGAACCGGAATTACTGAGATTCTGAGGGGTCACCTCAAAGTCTCTCACCAGCGGGTCGCTTCTCAGTTTAGACATCTTATCGATATATCGTTCGCGGCCCATTCGAGAGAAAAGAATAGAATGGAGGTCCGCTCGGGGAATTGGTGAGTCCTTGGTCGAGAACTCATAGAGAACACCCAACAACATTGCACAAAGACCCTGGACAAGGTCTCCCGTAGCGTATGGATGGTTCACTGCCTGAATAAGGCTTTGAGTGTTCGCGCCTTCACCGAGAAAGTCGTTGACTGCATCCAAGTCTTCAAACAGCCAGCAAAGGAGCAACATGAGGTACCCTACCACAACCCGGCTGTCCTCATCCCGCTTCAATCCAGATATTAAATGGGCAGCGATGGTCTGGATACTCGTAACGACTTCCTCCCCGCTTTCAGCATCGCCTTCTGAAACAGCCATGACCAAGCTCTTGGCCTCCGGGTTGTCATAAACCAGGTGCATCATGATTGTGGAGGCAAACCAACTGCGGTAAGGATTAGCGACGGCTGCGTCCGAAGAAGGCCGCAAGAGCACCGTCAGCACATTGGCCGTCTCGTCGGCTCCCATACTATGCCCTTCAATCGCTCTCCTCAGGAAATGTAAGCGAATATCGGCGTGGCCGTAGAAGTAAGCCTTGAGACAGTCGCACGCGGCCAAACGCATATCGAATGCCTCCAGATCCTGGACGCTGAGGGTAAGGTCCAACAGACCATCAATCACATAGACTTTGACGGAGCCTTTGGCTTGGCCAGATTCGGCTGGCGCGAGCGGTTCGAGGGGAGACGGAACTTGAAGCTGCGCGAATCCTTCCTGAAGGTTTGGGTTTCCCCTAATAATGTCGGCGCAGGTTACCAGAGCCTGCAGGCACGTTCTTAACATGACAGCACCAAGAATGATGATGGGAGACAACCAACCTCGGCCTTGATTGGAAGCTGGGCTACATGGCTGAAGGCCAATTGTAGGGCGTGGAACAGCAAGCCATGTTGCCAAAAGGCAAGCTGGTTCTGCGGCGTTCCCACGGCCCCTGCTACTAGAAACAGACGAACGACAGCCAGAAGCGCGTATATGTTCCTGTCGCGCTGGGCCTGCGCCCACGCTGCAATTTCTGCACCCACCCGTTGAGCCTTTTCAGCGCCTTCTAACAGCACAGACAAACGATGAATACCGCCCGATTCGCGGAATAATGATTGGTTGGAAGGGTTCCTCCTAAGAAGGTTTGCGACAAGAATCAGGCAGTCCTCCACGACACGATCACCTTCGGGAAGGGAACCTTCTGTAGATATGATGCCAAAGAGTCGATCAAAGGCATTTTCGAAAGCCACAAGCTTTTGAATATCGGTTGACGAGGGTGTGAGGAAGGTGAGGAGGGTGATGGCTTCGTTCCTGACGGCCTCGCGGCTATCGTCCAGCACAGCGACAAGGCGAGATATTCCTAGCGGGGCTGTGAAGATGCACTCTTCTGTGCGCTCGGTTCGGGCAGAGAGGATGGCAGCTAGCAACTGGAGAGAGTATAGCCTCGAGTAGAAGTCGGTGGAGTCGAGAAAGTCTAGCAGGAGCGTGACATTCTCCTGGCGCTGTGTAAATTCGTCAGCAAGCCAGAGAGCAATCTCCTCCGAGGCTTCTGGACTATCTTCGTTGGGACTGAATAGCATGAGCAGCGTCTCGAGGACGACCTTGACGGTGTCGACATCTTCGGCATCTTTGCTCAAGCTGCCTATGAGACTGCGAAGAGCTCCAGAGGCGACAGAGGCAGGGAAGTCCTTTGCAAAGCTGCGCAACCCGAGTATAGCAGCACGGCGATCTTCAAGGAGCGTTGATGAGCTCAACCGACCACTCAGAATGGTGATAGTCTCACCGACCGACTGCTTCGCCGGTGCAGTGGGAATGGAAAACATGCTGTTTCGTCAACTGCCGGCCATCGGGAGCTCAAGCAGTGCCATGAACGAGAAAAAAGAGACAGTCAAGTATTGAGAGAAAGGCAAAAAAGGCTGTAGAGAGAAAAGGCTGTAGCGAGACAAGTCATGTAGATACAGCAAAAATCATTCGGACGACCAGGCTGGGCTACTATTGGTAAAGTAGAGAGCCCGTCGCAAGATGGGCAGGAGGCCTGGCACTTTCTTTCTTGAAGAAGGCAGGTGCGTTAACGAAAGGTGTACTTTGACGGCCGCTCGCACTGATTAAGGGATAACAAGCCCTACATGCAGCAATACGGTGGGAAACTCGCGTCACTGGAATGGCAAAATACTGCTTACCTGGTTACCGGATACATAGAGAAGCCAGCGCATCGATAGGTACCTAACTGGTTTGATGATCGCTGCCGGTGGAGTAGGGTATGGCTGGCCTTCCTCTGCCGAACCTACCTTACCTTAGGTAAGATCCTTAGGGGCGCGCGCCAGCAACCGCCAGCACGGAAGGCTCTGACTTTGAATCTCAGGTACCGCGATCAAACGTGACCCTCCAAGAGTCTGTCAATGTTTGCACACCAGCACGACCCTGTCGAAATTCCTCACAGTGTATAGGATAAAACTAAGGTAGGGGCACTTTTGTCGCATGCGCAAGCAAACAAGTCTCGCAAATCTCATTCCCACCGCTGCACCTTTTCGTTCAGTTTCGCGTCCGCGACTACGAGCTAAGGCAATATCGAGAATCTAACCGCAACTGCCACAGCAAAACATCCTTTTACTCGATCTGCGGTAAAGAAATCCCTCGCAAGCGAAGAAGCTCACGCATCCATGCGTCGCAATCCTCTCGTTACATTTTTCTTTTGTGACTCGAGAACCACTTGCTCGCCTTACCTTCTGCGCCATAACGACGAGCGACCTCACGAAATCGTCACATAGGCCCTAAAGTTTTCTTACGCATCCTTCCTCCACCCCAACATCAATCAAGATGGGTATCCCGGCGGCTTTCCGATGGCTTTCAAACAAGTATCCCAAGATCATTTCTCCAGTCATCGAGGAGCAACCCGTAAAGATGGAGGATGGGTCAGAAATCCCCGTTGACACGACCGGGCCTAACCCGAATGGCGAGGAGCTCGACAACTTGTATCTCGACATGAACGGTATCGTACACCCATGTTCTCATCCCGAGGATCGCCCTGCTCCCAAGGATGAGGAGGAGATGATGCTTGAAGTCTTCAGGTACACAGATCGTGTTGTCAACATGGTCAGGCCGCGGAAGCTGCTAATGATTGCTGTTGGTTAGTCCCCCTCCCCATCCTTCTTTTTAATCGTTAGTTCCGTTACTGAAAGGAATGAAAATTGCTCAGACGGCGTCGCGCCACGTGCCAAGATGAACCAACAACGATCTCGTCGCTTCCGGTCCGCGCAGGAAGCTCAGGAAAAGGAGGAGGATAAGCAAGAGCTTCTGAAATTGTTGAAGCAGCAAAATGGCGGTGCTATACCCGATGACACGCTCGAGGGCGTCGCCAAGAAGGCTTTTGACTCCAATTCCATTACTCCCGGCACTCCGTTTATGGATACTCTGGCCTCGAGCTTGAGATACTGGTGCGCGTATAAACTGAACACAGATCCGGCCTGGGCAAAACTCAAGATCATCATTTCCGATGCGACAGTTCCTGGTGAGGGAGAGCACAAGATCATGTCTTTTGTGCGATCTCAGCGCATCTCTCCGGACTACGATCCGAATACCCGACACGTCATTTACGGCCTCGACGCTGACTTGATAATGCTTGGCCTCGCGACTCACGAGCCTCACTTTCGAGTTCTACGTGAGGATGTCTTCTTCCAAGACAGCAAGGCCAAGATGTGCAAGCTCTGTGGACAAAAGGGCCACGAGGCTCGCGCTTGTCGTGGGCAGGCTAAAGAGAAGGCTGGCGAATTTGACGAGCAGGATAAGAGCCCTGCTTTGAAACCATTCATCTGGCTTCACGTCCCCATCCTGCGGGAATACTTGGCCGTAGAGCTCAATGTCCCAGGTCTACCCTTCCGCTTCGATCTGGAGAGGGCCCTCGATGACTGGGTTTTCATGTGCTGCTTCGTTGGCAACGACTTTTTGCCTCACTTACCGGCCCTAGAGATCCGGGAGAACGGAATCGACACATTGACAGCGATTTGGAAAGACAACTTGCCGTTCATGGGTGGCTATGTCACAAAGGACGGTCACGTCGACTTGGGTCGGGCGCAGTACATTCTCAATGGCCTAGCCAAGCAAGAGGATGCGATCTTCAAGAGGCGAAAGGAGACTGAAGATCGCAGAGAGGCCAGTTTCAAACGGAGAAAGCTTCAAGAAGAACAGCGTAACCCAAAGTTTGCTAAACCGAAGCAGGTCGACGATGCATCTGCAGGCTTGAGCTTATTCGCGGTCGCAGGAGGCGCAAACGGCATCACCCACGATAAAGTGGTTGGTCGCTCTTCGAACATGAATACCAATACCGCCAACAAGAGTGCTGCAAGCGCTATACGAGATCAACTCAAAGGGTTGATGTCCAAGAATGAGCCTGGTCAGGAAGATGACGCCGCGAAGGCCACTAAGGAAGAGGTCCTCAACCCGCCGGATCAAAATTCCGTACTCGGCAAACGCAAAGCCAACGATGATGCGGCGCCCCAGGCCGGTTCCGCTCCGGCAAGCGCAAAAGGCCCCAGCACGTCATCCGCTGCCGAGGAGGCCGCCGTGGATCATGTTAGAATGTGGGAAGAGGGCTACGCCGATCGATACTACGAACAAAAGTTTCATGTTGATCGGAGCGACAACGATTTCCGGCACAAGGTTGCGCAGGCTTACGTGGAGGGCCTATCCTGGGTTTTGCTGTACTACTTTCAGGGCTGTCCCTCATGGGAATGGTACTATCCGTACCATTACGCGCCGTTTGCTGCCGACTTTGTGGATCTTGAGAAGATGAACGTTCATTTCGAAAAGGGTCGTATTTCAAAGCCATTCGAGCAGTTGATGAGTGTACTGCCTGCAGCTTCTCGCCATGCGTTACCCGAAGTCTTCCACGATCTCATGCTGAATGAGGATAGCGATGTCATCGACTTTTACCCTTCAGATTTCGAAATTGATCTGAACGGAAAGAAGATGGCGTGGCAGGGTGTAGCGCTGTTGCCGTTTATTGAGATGCCAAGGTTGCTAGCCGCCATCGAGACGAAGTATCCCCTCCTGAGCGAAGCAGATCAGGCACGGAATAGTGTCGGAAGAGATGTGCTGCTCTTGTCAGATGCTCACCACGAATTGTACGATGAGATCACTACCAGCTTCTACTCCAAGAAACAGGGTGCGCCGACGCTCAAGCTCAGTCCGCGCACCAGCGATGGGCTGGCTGGCAACATTGAAAAGATTCCCGAATATCTGCCTCACGGGGAATTGTTATATCCCTTGGAGCGAGGAGGAATGCCCAACCTCGACTACGACAGGTCTCTAAGGTATGTTGATCTCGTCAAGAAGTAGACTTGTTGATTTTCTCGACTAACAATAAAGCAGGGTCTGGTACACGTTCCCGGAAAGTTCGCACCCTCACAAGTCGATGCTGCTGCGTGGTGCCAAGCCTCCGGCTCCAGCCCTAGATCGCAACGACATTGAGACCCTAAAAGGGAAGTCATCCCGAGGCGGGCGTAGCTATGGGGGAGTGCCCTTTCAACGCGGTGGGGGACATCACAATGGCAGTCGGAGGGGGGGACAATTCAGTTACGCCCCTGATGGCGGACAAGGACGCCAAGACCGGGGACCGCCCTCGCACGGGAGTAACGGTGGCTATGGACGGCAAGCATTCCAGCCATCAGGGCCACCACACATCCAGTCATCGTGGCAACCTCCTCCTCCAGGGCACCCTGGGTTCGGTATGGGCCTGCCGCCGCCGCCGCCGCCGCCGCCGGGGTATGGAAACGATGGACGAGTATCCAACGGTTCCTATCGCGGAGGAGGCTATCACCAGCAACAAAATTACGGGCCACCGCCGCCAGGGCCACATTCGCAATATGGCTATCCCGATGGAGGTCGCCAAGGAGGTCGCGGCAGCTACCAGGGTCGTGGAGGCCATAGTGGTGGACGCGGTGGCGGCGGTGGTAGATATGGCAGTGGACGCCACAATTACTGATATTCGGACAGTCGACGTTGTGCGAAGTTGAAGGTCCCGACCCTATATAGATACACGGCTAACTGTTGCGAGGGAAAGCAGGAGGATTGGGAACCGAGGAAGGCATTGGTCGGTATCACTCGCGTACAAATAATGCAGATGGGCATTTGTAGACGAGTCGCCAGGGACACGGCGTGTTGCTCCGAGGAGCTAGACACCACTGCGGCCTGAGAGATGACATAGATGCTTGTCAAGACGGTTGTGACAGCGATCCGAGGTTACGTTTATAAGCAGGTCAGTTCTTCATACTTTATTGTTGGACCCGTGGAACTCAAGTGTCTCTGCACGGTGTTTAGCAGTGGTTGACTATTTCGGTCGGCGATGGGCGGTAGGAATAGACAGAAAATAGAGGTGTATCGGCCGAGTCATAACGCGAGCGCAAGATTAAGTAAGGTACCTCAAGGTACATTGCCGAGGCATTGAAACCCGCGAACCATCAAGTCTCTACGTGCCTAGGTGCCATAGGAAACACGGTATTAATAGATATTGTAAGGTGATATGAGCTTCGTGCCTTTGTTTTCAAGTCAAGTGGGCGACAAAAAAATCAGCCGCTGGTACATCCTAATTCCCTTCCCTTGTCATCACCACTACATATGTATTATCGAAAGAAGATACTGTGAGAAAATCAGACAAGAAGAGCAAGAGTAGTGTTGGCTGTAGTGATAGAAAGAAATTGTCAGGATGTGTTGAGATTATTTTGTCACCCATTTGTTGGTTCTCCAAAGTTCAAGGCGGTTGAATGCCAAGCTACCTACCTTGCCTTCCACCTTAAGTAAGCATCCCCGCCGGCATTCGCATTCAAACTCTCCTTCCATTTTAGCGCAGTCAGGGACGGATCGACGGTCACTGGCTGGTGGCTTCAGACGGGCAACTGCCCCACACCATCTGCCCCTCGGATCCCACCTCACCTCAGGGATCCGGAAGCAGTAAGGAGGCCCGCCCCTCATGGTTTGTGGGCTAATTTGCTTTTTCTGGGTTTCTTCCCTCAGGCATTAGGTATGCCCAGGTACGTGGTACCTCAAAGTAGGTAGGCACGTAGGTAAGTAAGGTATCTAGGTAGGGGAAATTAGAGCAGCTAGGTACCTACCTACCTTGGCAACTTAGGTACACTAGGTGGACAGCGGCCTGTCGCCCATTTTACGAGACAGTATCGTCTCACATTCCATCCTGGGTCTCTTTAACAGGTCGAGGTAGGGTAAGAAGATACCTAAGGTAGGCACTAAGGTAAGGTAAGATAGTCACTATTCTGTATCCGTACCGTCCCTACGGTGAGGTAGCTATGCTTGCACGCTCGGCACCTCGGAGGCTACTAAACCCATCTTAGCAGCTCTCCTCGGGCCAGACGACGCTATCAGTGCTACCCCTCCACCTTCTCCCTCCAGACCTGCACGACTGCCAAACGGATGTAGGTACATCTTTCATCTTTTTTTACATTTTTATTTATTTGCCTAGAGGCGTGTCACCCGTCACCACCACAGCCAGCCAGAACCGATGCTGATGCAACGTTGGTATCAAGTCGCTTTCTATACTCTATTCGCCCTGTTCCTCTAATACAGTCCAGCGCTTCCTTCTCCTGCTACCTACTCCACGTACTGCGACAAGTCCATCATCCTCTCCGAACCAACAGTTGCCTCTGTGCAATTAGCCAGCAACCCGGCTTTGCGCTCGTGGTCCGTCGCCATCGCCCTCCACTATACCTACAATCCCATAAAACACCCAAGCAACGTCGCGATACTCGGCCAAGTCACCACACCACTTGAGCTTGAGGGAGGCACAGGACACAAAGGACACGCGCGTACGGTCATGAGCTCTATCGTTTTGGAGCGCAGACATGAACGGCGATGCTGGTCTCGTCGGCTGCCTGGTCGATAGGCTTGCCACTAGAGTATGTCGCTCCTTTCTCCCCTTCTAAACCTTGACCACCATATGCGACGCAACCCCTTCTTCCTCTTACTCTGTTGCGTCTCCTAGCTCTTGGGGGGCATCGCTGACAATAATCGCGCCCTTCTCAGCTTCCCCACAGGACAGGAACTCATGGGCAGGAGCTTCAGCAGGACGACGTTGTCCTCATCACGAGGTCTACCCTAGTCAAAGTCAGCACATCTGCTGTTGCCTTTGTTCTCGACTCCCTCGTCGCGCTCCTCGAAGACATAATTCGAAACTACAAGGGCCTTCCCCCACCCGCCCATCCTCCTCACGTCCTCCTTTCCGAAGTCTACGTCCTTGCCCTGGCTGCCGACTGCTGCACCGCTCACTGGGACCAAGTCAAGGCCCAAGGCCTACGCCAGCCCTCTGCTGATGCCGACGCTCGTCGTGTTACACCGGCAAACCTTGCAAGTGTTCCCGAACCGTTAGATGAAGCCCTTGTCAACCGTGTCTTCGACTTGGTCAAGTGGCTTGTCGAGCCCATTCCTGAGGGCTATGTTCTACCCTCGTCCACTATCCTCGACGATACCTCGAGACACGCCGACCCCATTGCCCGTCCGCCGGGTGGTCTTGCCTCGCCGCTTCCTGGTGATGCTGACGCTGCCGAGGACGACGAAGCCCCGCCCATTACACAGCTAGCCGTTTTGGAACCTTGCATTAGAATCATTGTGGAATACGTCACAGCCTCTACTTGGTCCTGCTCCTTTGACTACTTCAGGAACGTCGTTTATACCGTTCGCACTGCAGCTGTTGTGCAAGCTGCTCCTGGCCAATCGGCCGCGACGCCCGACGATGATAAGGCTTCCCTGGCGGTACTCAAGATCCTGTCCTTCTTTTGGGTCGATGCTCAAAAGTTGGGTCTCATAATTCAGGAGATATGCTCCAGCTTCCTACATTTCCGCAAATCCTTCCAGAACACCGTTGCCGTCGTCGCCCCCTTGCTAGTCACCAGATGGCTTGACCGTTATCCCCATGAATTCGTGCAGCAGCATACTCTACACAAGCGTCTCGACGGCGGCGCCGACACTCTGTTTGACATGACGCAGACAGTCGTTGACAATGGTCGCAAGAAAGGGGTGTTATACCCCCTGCAGACAACGTTGCTATTCCTGCTTCCCGATGTTTTCGAGGTGGCTAGTAATCTCCGCGAGGCCAAAAGTAGCAGTATGGCAAAGAAGGTGGGCTTTCTGGACAACCTGAGGAAGGCGCTCAGGAACAAGAATGAGCAGGCTGCTTACTCTTTGGTGTCCCTATTGAGGGCATCTCGCCACTTCGTTGTCGAGGACGATGCCGCATTAGTGAGCTACGCAATGGATGTACAAGACGAGGTTCGCGAGGCCGTTTTCCGGCGCGGCAACGAGTCTTCCTTGTTCGATCAAGACCTGATGACAGCTGCATTTGTGAGCCTTGCTGAACTGAGTCTAGAAAGCTGCATCGACTCGCTAAGAGAGTCATATCTAGGCCTCTCTTCGCCACAGGCTTTCAAGACTGCCGTCGTCCAAGGTTGCCGTTACTTCGCCCGTCAAAATGACTCGCACATTTATGAGCAGCTTTTTGCCGTCGCGGGACCGTTCATGCGGACTCAACTCAAGGTATGTCTCACGAGGACCCTCTCCTTTTGCGTTCACACCTTGTTGCAGTCTCTCTGTGGGCCAAGTTGGTGACCAAGGTAGCAGGCCGTCGCGGAATTGCCAGCAGAATCCACCACCCTCGCTCTGGCTCTCCCGCGCCGTGACTCGAATCTTCACTCGTTCACAAACATGGCATGTGATGTTCTCAGGTTTCTGGATGCTTCACCCCGCTCCCTCTTCGACGGCGATAGCCTAGGCGACAGTGTTACTGGCACCGCTGACGAGGACGTCTTTTTGTCCTTCCTCTCGTGCGTCGTGTCTGCCAACCCGACTATCCGGAAACTCGCCACAGGTGTTGCGAAGCGCCTTTTCTCCGACAATTCCATTCTCGATACCCTCCGCGCTCGTGGTAGACTGAGTTCTGCAGCACTTAAGAGGGAATTCTGGCGACGCAGGTATGAAGACCAGGGGCCTCTCAAAACTTTGCACGCATGAGAGTAAGCTAACAGAACTTCGGGCAGCTCCTTGGTATTACTCAATATGTGCAACAACATTACGTCTGATGGCAACGGCCCAGAGGTCAAGGCTATCCATGAATACCTTGAAGCCCGGAAGTTTTTGCTGGCATCGCTGCGGGTCAGTTGAACCTGTGTTTCCTCCCAGCTCACCAAACTAACAAGACTTGCTTCTCTTTAGGAGCTATCTGACATGCCCGAAGGTGTACCCGAGATTGAGGCAGCATCCTCCAGACTCGAAACCACGCTGCTCGTCTCTTTGTGTTCTGCCGATGTCGACACCTGTCAGACGGTCACCGCATGCATAGGCCTCTCTTTTGAAGAGAACAACCTCGTGGACATTACCTCTGATACAGCCAAGGGATTTGCTACTCTACGACGCAATGGTGAGGTGTACGGCGAGATCGCATCTCGAGCATTCCGGTTCACAGGACTCGTCGCTTTTCAAAAGAGGGTTCGCGGCTTGCTCCGCCGTTTGCAGTATCCTACGAGCGGCATCCTCTCGGCCTGGGAGTATGGCTTCGAACGATGGCTCCTTCTGTCGAGAGAAGTTTCAATGGCACCTGTCGATGCTGTTGACGAAAGAACGCTGACCGAGTGGCGGAACTACTCGGGTTTCCTCGCATCTCTTGGTGGAATATGCACGGCGAACCAGACAATCATCCTTGAGGAACCAACACTAAGCGGCCTGAGGTGGATCGATAGGCTTCCTTCGGAAAACCATGAAGAGCCCTTGTTGGGCAGGTATCTCAAGTTGAGCATTCAACTTCTTGGATGTGCGAGCGTCAGGATCAGAGAAGCGACCAGGGAGGTTCTATCGAGTGAGGTGTCATCCACGCTCTACCAAGCACTATTCAAATCTCTTGAGTCTGAGCTTGAGGTCCTTTTTACCGGTGCTCTAGCGCCGAGCGACAAGGCACAGGACGTCGAAATCATTTTTGCTGAGCAAGCAATTTCTCTTCTGAAAGCACTCGTAGAGCGGCTCGAGAGTCCTTCAGATCTCGGTGCTGCCTCGGCCATACACCTTGGTGCTCTTGCACTCAACTTCGCGAAGTTCCTCGACGGCGTTGCTGACAGCACCAATACCCTGCGAGTCAAGATCAAGGTCTGCCAGTTGTGCGAGGCAGTTACGAAGAGAAAGGAACATTTGAACCTCAGAGACGACGTGCGAATCCGAAATCAGCTCTTGGAGTATATTTTTGGTTGGATTGCTCGGCCTCGGTCTCCGCGGCTAGACCCAAGTACCAGCTCAAGTGGCCGTCTAGACGAAGTCGTGAGAGTCCAGAAAGACTTGGACAAGGCTTGTCTTAAGTCACTTGCCGAGCTTACTTTCCGTCTGCCCTTGCAGCCTGGCGAAGGTCAGACCGACGCTGGTACGAGCGAGCTCAAGTCACAGATGTTCCATACCTACTTCAACAGATTTCTCTCGCTACTCAACCACGAGTCTCTTGAAGGCGGCAGAAACGATCTTATGGCGGGAATATCCAGTCGTGACGAGGGCGGATCTTCGTCAGAATTTGCTATCACCATTCTCTCAAATCTACTCAGTGCCAATATCGACGTCGGCCTGAAGCACTCTCTAAATATCGGATACCATGACAACGTTGAGATTAGGACAGCATTTGTCAAAGTCCTTTACAATATTCTCATTCAAGGGACAGAATTTAGCAATCTTACAGACGCTGCGGTCAGTGAGAAGTATGACGAGTTGCTCGAGGTAGGCGAAGCTGTGTGGTTCCACGTTGGCTCGACGTCGCATAATCTAACATGGTCCGCAGCTCCTGACAAAGGATATGACGCTGGTAGCAGCGATGAGCGCCGTGTGCCCAAGTAGTGAGGTTGATGAGCTGACTGTTTCTCTGTTAACAATATTTGAACATCGCGGTCTCAGTTTCGAGCTGCTGGAAGTTCTCATCAAGCAAGAGATCGAAGAAACAGGTGAGGACGACACTCATCACCTCTCCGTAATAAATCCCTTTGCAATTAACAATCTACTTAGATAACGAGTCAGAGATACTACGGCGGACGTGCGTAGCAACCAAGATGCTATCCGTCTACGCCAAGTGGAAGGGACAACCGTACCTCAAGGCAACTCTGCAAAAGGTCGTCGAGAGATTGATGTTGACTTCGAAGGACCTAGACCTCGAGTTGGACCCGGCTCGCGTGAGCTCTACGGACGAGCTCCAGAAGAATGCCCTCCAATTGCGCATCGTAGCAAAGGTATTCATAGACGACATTTGTGCGTCGTCTTCCACCATGCCGACCTCATTCCGCAGGATCTGCAATATCGTACGTCTGCTGATATCAAATCCCCTCGGCGTGCCCACTAATGAGACCCATAGATCTCTGCTGCCGTGCTTCCGCGATTTCAGGAGGCCAAGTATACGGCCGTGGGGGCATTCGTTTTTCTTCGATTCTTCTGCCCAGCCATCGTTGCGCCCGAGGTCGAAGGTCTGGTTACCACGACACCATCAAAGGAGATGCGACGAGGTCTTCTCCTCATCGCGAAGGTCATCCAGAATCTGGCAAATAATGTTTTATTTGGAGCCAAAGAGCCATACATGTTCCCCTTGAACGATTTCCTCACCCAGAACATTTACCGGGTCACAACTTTCTTGCGCGAAATTTCTGTAAGTGGTCCCATTTACCCGCGCGGCTACATTTTGTCTACCTCCACATGCTCATCGTTGCCATGTTTTAGGTGCCCCCTGAGAATCTCGAAACTCCGCCTACGATCGAGTCTTTTGATTTCGGCTCTTGCGTTGCGCTACATAGGTTTCTATATGACCATTGGGATCACATGCGCCAGAGACTCGTTACTCAGGAACGAAAGGACTTCGTGCGGTCGCCTGCTGAGGTATCTCGGGGTCGGTCGCCTGTGCTCGAGCCCTTGCGGAATCTCATCACGAACCTAGGCCCTCCGCCTTTAGCTGTGACCTGGAACAGACCCCAAATATCGACGAATACCCCGCCTTCATACTCGAGGTTTCAAAACTTTATGCTTCGAAACGCTTTCCGGAGTACTGAATCTTTTATCACTGCCAGAGCCGTCTATGACGGAGGTGAAAGCAAGGTATTGGTCCCCCGTAGTATGGCTTCCCTCGATGAAACAATACTAATTAGACCTCTCAGGACTCTCTTTCCATCATTTGCATCATTCTACGGCATATTGACGCCGAGAGCATAGACTACGATACTCTTTTGTACTGCTACCTAAAGGTAAATATCACAATCAGATTCAGATCTACCGCGCCTTTGCTTCGAAGAATTCACCACTGTACTTCGCGATTGAAAGAGAGGGTCTGCTTTTTCTTCGTCCATTCTGATTAATTTGTTCTTCTCTAGATCGCAAGTCGTCTGTGGCACAAGCCTTTTGGTCTGCTCATCGACGCCACTTGCTACAATGGCCAGAACGAACCTCAAGACGAGCTGTTCAAGAAGCTGGAACAGCTTACGCCCGTAGAGTTGTCCAGGAATCTTGTAAGGGTCTACGTCTACAACATGAACAGCGCATTCAGGTAAGGACCAAGGAGGCAGGCGATAGATGCGTATCCAATTCCCCTAGGTCGGACTAACATAGCTAACGTCCAGCAGGAAATGTTTCCGAAGACTTCTCCGGGTTTCTGCCAAGAGCGACAACAGCGTCTTCAATCCAAAAAATGTTGACTACCATTTAATTGGCAGCCTTCAAGATTTGCAAGCTCATTTTCACCTCAGCCAACTTCACCTCCCTAAGGAGACGATCAGTGTTGTTACAGATACCCGATACGTGTTTCAACCCATTACCCGACTGTCCAAGACAAAGGGTAAAATTGAAGTTGTCATCAAGGTTGGCAGCCAATTTGTACAAGTCACAACCACGAAGAAGCAGGAGGTCTTTCCTGGCTATCGATTGAGCACTACTGTGAACGATATCTTCAGGCTAGGCGAGGTGGAAGAAGCTCCTACGTCAATACAGACTGAAGATGACTCAGCCTTTGGTCTGCGTGCGGATAATGGCAAGATTGTCATGTACTTCACCAGCCCTAAGAAGGCCGACGTACTCCAGACGATTCGCGGCGCGAAGGCTAAATACGGCAAGGATACGAGGGCACACAAGGCCTACGAGCGGTTGATCCGTCCACAAGATGTGCCGGGCACCTTGCTGAATCTAGCCCTGACAAACCTGTCAAGCGCCGACCATGTTCTCAGACTGTCATCTTACAATCTTCTCGGTGCCCTTTGTAAGGCCTTCAAGTTTGGCGCGGCTGCGAACTTGATGTGCACCAAAGGTATGTTCCGAAGTCAATGGCTATGGAGGGTCGGAAACCGCCACAAAGCAGCTGCTAATTACCGCCACAGATGTTTCTGTGCCCATGGACCCGTCTCATTTCATCATCAAGATTAGCAGACAATTGGCAACATCTGAGCCTCAATTGACCTTTGACTTTTTGACCGAGTTTTTCGTCGGATGGGAGACTTTCACGGACGAGCAGAAGCCGCTCAGTCTGGCATACATGGCCCCATGGCTACCGGGCTTACGCACCGGGGTTTTAGCGAACGAATCTGATGCTGAGAAGGGAAAGGAAAAGATTGCAGCTCTATTCCGCAAACTCATAGATGTGGCCATGTCAGACCACGGGCTTACGTATACGCTTGAGCAAGTCGTCTGGCCCGCCATTTACCAGGACGAAACAATACTCGAAATTTTCCTCGAGGAGCTCATGAGGGCAGCACTAAGCTTTGGGTTCTCCGAAGAGCCCATGGAAGCCTTGTCGTCAATCGTCTCAGGTATGGGCAGCATCACCCTACGCGGTAAGGTGATATCCCGGCTACGCAAGGCTTTGAATCGGTCTTCCCTCCGGCCTACAAAGTACTTGCCTGACAATGCAGTGTGGGCTGAGATCTGCGTTCTACTTCACTTCTGTTTGTCGTTGTCATTCGATAATGGCGTGCAATCTCAGCTGTATCTACCGGAGATATTTCACATCGTCACCATCTTGGCCAACACCGGGGCTCCAGAGGTTCGCTTGCTAGTACAGAGGCTTCTTGTCAACACTGTACACGCGGCTTGCACGTCATTCAACCTAGACGAGACTCGGTTCAACAAGCTCAGAGGCAGCTTAGACTTCCTAAGCGAGCCCAGGAGCGAAATATTCTCAACACCACCCCCTTTCCTACGCGATGGAGCGTCCATGTCGACTACGCAAGATGCCGGGCCTTCACTAACCGCCACCGAGAACCTAGCGGCTGTCTTGTTTGAGGTCTGCTCGGTAGCAGCGCCCTCCGTCGATATCTCCAATGCCTGGAGGTCTCGCTGGATGAGTCTGGTGGCCAGCACCGCATTCCAGAATAATCCGGCTATTCAACCTCGGGCTTTTGCCGTCATGGGCTGTTTAGCCCGAGAGGAAGTGGATGACGACCTACTCTACCAAGTTCTTGTCGCTCTACGAAATAGCGTTGGCCGCTTGGGTGACGACACTAACAGCGACATGCTCATTTCCATTGTAACGTCTCTGTCCAAGATGATGGCAAAGCTCCCTTCGGCATCTCGTTATGGTCTACAGCTCTTCTGGCTAGCCATTTCCCTTCTACGATTGGTTCCTCCGGCTCTATTCAACTGCACGGCTCAGTTCTTGGAGGCGGTCATGACCAACATTAGCACGGTGGGTGATCTCAGGGGCGACAAGATGGGCCCTCTTCTACTCCAGGGTCGCGTTCAGCTAGAAGAGGCGGCCCTGCCTCTGGACGACGCATACGGTATTCACTTCACGCCGGAGAACTTTCATTTCGCAGTCTGCGCATGTCTCGCTCGCGGTCTTGCGGACACTACCACCAAAACGAATGCCATGCGAGTACTCTCGGCCTTCTTAGATATGGCGGGCAATCCTGTTGACGACGCTGAGCATCCGCCTGATGACTTATCTCGGTCGCCTTACATGGCTCTCATCCTCGCCCGAACAGTTGGGAGCGATGAGCTCAGAGACAGTTTATGGCTCGCAGGAATCAACCCTTCGCTCTTGCGAGATGTCACTGGCCAGCAAAGATACGATGATCTCAGCGGCATGAAGGATAAAGATCTCCTCCTAAACACGGCCATCGAGTTGATTGACTTTCAGTACCTGGAAGACGCACTACAGAACCGGACGCTACAGTGGCTGACTGAACTCGCAGCAGCCAGGCCATCTGTGATCATGCACCTGTAAGTTGCTGCTATTTACACTCTAATCTCGACCTACGTGGAGTCTTGGGCTGATTCAATGATAGCTGTGGGCCCATTGTATCTATCCTGGATGACGTCCTTCTGCATTGCCAGAATTCATCAACTTTGGAGTCTGCACAGGATCTGCTACATGCACTCACGTCCAATCCAAAGTTTAGCGCAGCGTTAGAGTCTACAGCCGTCTTGAACGAAATCCTTGAGGACATGGGCTTCAGCGGGCTGTGGCGCTCATGCTCGTTCAGTTTCAGCCAAGATCAAGACAGGAAGTGCTTTCTTTTAACTGAGAAGCTGATAGAAGTAAGTTAATATAAAAACAATCTATATATAAAGTTACTAATTTTTTAGCTTATTATAGTTTAGTTAGTAAAGATGTTTATATACCTTATATTAAAAGATTTTAAGTATTATTTGCAATTATAAAATAATTTAATTTCTTAATTAAGCTTAGTATTAATTAAACGGATTTATATTTATAAAAAGATTAATAAAAAAATTTAAAATTTATAAAAAAATAAGGTATCTTATTAATTAATTATATATATATATCGTAAGAGGTCCAGCGCACAGCCACGTGTGGCTAAAGTAATACCCACTTAAATACGCTTACTAATTTATTTTCTAAACGCCTTTAGTTAATATATTTACTTAATCAATTTATAAAATATTTTTTTAAAAAAATAAGTATTTTAAATAATAAAAACTATATTTCTACGCTTTTGATTTATTATAATTATAAATTTAGCTTTTATAAACTTTTTTTAAAAAATATAAAAATAAATAAGTATTTTTATTATTTTAAAATTTATAAAAGCGTAAAGTGTTTATTAATAATATTAATAACTGATTAACTTTTTATATTTAATAATAATTAACGTTTTAATATAAGAGCGGATTAGTTAATTTAACATATTAACTTTTATATATATATATAAGAATATAAATAAGTATTTAAATTAAAAAAAAAATATAAAAGTAGGGTTATTATAATTTTAAAACTTAAATTTAAAAAGTTTTAAAATTATCGTTAGTTTTTTAAAATTTAATTTAATTTAATAAGGCCAAATATTTACTAAGCCGTTATTATTTAAATATAAAATAATTAATTTAATATAATATATAATAACAGTATTTTATAAATTTTTTTTTTTTTTAGGTTTTAATTTTTAAAATAAAATATTATTAATATATATTTTTATTAAATAACCGGTTAATTTTTAATAACGTATATATATAGCGAGTCGCTTATTATAACGAATCGCTTACTTTCCTTTCTTTTTATATTTTCTATTTTAATAACTATTTTTCTTTATATACGATTATAAATTCTTTTTTAAATAAAAATCGTATTATTTTTATATTTTAAATTATTAAAAAAGATTTAAATTTATTTATATAAAAAATAGCTTTTATTTATAATATTTTAAAAATAATACTTCGCGACCGACGTATTAATTTATTATTTTAATATAAAATTTATATAAATTTAAAAAAAATAACTTTTTTAAAAAAAACCGTAATTTTTAAATAAGTTATTAACTTAATTAATTAAGGATTTTTATTATAATTTAATAATATATAAAATATAATTAATTATTTTTTTATTAAATACGACGTAATATATATTAAATTATAATAAATAAAAAACTTTATATAATATTAATTATAATTAAAAACGCGTTTTTAATATAAAATCGATTATTAAAAAATATTAATTAAAGATCCTATAATTATTTAAACCTAATTTACCCTTATATAAAATACGATTATAAAATATAAAATATATAATTATAATATTTATAATTTTAATAAAACAGGCTTTTTAATAAAAATATTTTTATATATAAAAGTTATTATAATTTTTAATCGTTATAAAAAGCTTTATATAAAATAGTTTAATAATCGAAAATAAGTTTTTATTATGGGAATTAATATACGGGCATGAATAATTGATATACGGGTATGACTCTTACACGGGCATGACAGCTATATACTATTATTAGCCTAAAAAAATACATAGACTATAAATACTTCGTCCTAAAGGCGGTGAAGGGTCCCTTACTAACATTTTCTTATCCTGACGTATTTATCTAAATTATTTTATATTAGATTGTATTATGCTTATTTTTAGTTTCTACGCTTTTTATATCCTTTTATTATAATATATAATAAGTAATGAATTAATATTAGATTTTACCGAAGCCTTATTTAGATAATTACGTCCGTTAAGGGACGGCCTTGTTATTATTATTAATTAATATCTCCTATTCGCACCTCCTTTTTTAAATACTTACTTATAATACCTATTTATTAGCTCGTACTCTTATAGATTTTTTTATATTAAGTTTATTAAATTGATTTTTAGTTTAAGGCTATAATAAGGCCGTAGATTAGTTATTTTCTTATTACCTTTTTTTTTATATAAGTTTTGCGATAGTTGTTTTATTACGGCTTCTTAGTGGACGGCTTTATTAAGTTATTTTAAAGGCTATTAGTGGCGTTTTCTTATGCTAAGCCCCTAGATTATTATCCTCCCGTACGGCTAATCGATTAAGGATAGGCTATACTAAGTTCCTCGGCCTATTACGGAGGGATATAATAATCTTAGGATTTAGAATCCGACGATATAGGTCTTTTGAGGACGTTTCCTTTAATTTTTAATAAGGATAGACGTTTTACTTTGTAAAAGATGTCCCGGCTATAAGCCTTACGTAAATTATATAGTAATAAGGAATACTTAGCTATACTAAAATAAAATAGTTGTTTATATAATCTTTAATAAGAGGGGGCCGTAGATAATTATTGGTCGGTAATATTATTTTTACTATTTAGTATTATTTTATAATTAACTTTAAATATTTTAAAAAAAGTATATTTTGGAGTTTATTTAAGTATTCCGAACTAGCTTTAGCGTATTAATAGGTAGTTAATACTTTATTTTTTATATAGGACTATGTAAACCATAACTCTTAATTTCGAATTATATTTTATATAATATTAACGAATCGGTATAAGTAACTTAGGTTATTAAAGAGATAGCCTTTAATATTATTGTTATTAAACTCGGTCCTTAAGGTGATGCGAATATTAAAATTTTGATATTTTTAAATATAATAACGAGCTTATTAAGTTTTAATAAGAAGGTATGTCTTATAAAGATAATGTAATATTAGCTATTAATTATCGAACTCTTTATAAAGACTATCCTATGTTTTCTTAAAAGTAACTTCGGTCTTAGTAAAAATAACGAGCTTCTATATTATAAAGATTTTATAATATATATAGGGGATTGAATTGTTAGTAGGCGTGTGGATATACGCCTAGTCCTCGTCGTTTAATTTTATTATTAATATTCTCGAGGGCTTAATATCGTCTTCGTAGTCTAAGCCACTGCCGGCACCCTCTAGCCGTTTTCTTTTTACTTACTTTTACTTAGTTTTAAATATAATATTAGAGTTAATATAATAGATATAGAGCTGTTATTATACGTTAGCGAACTCGTAAGTTAAAGCGGCCTTTATCTACTTATTATAATCAGTAATAATAATATTTAGTAAGCGAATCGAATACTAGTTAATTAGTTAATGGATACTTTCCGTAAGGAACCGGAACCCTTTTAATCTTTTATTATCGATAAGGCCGAATGTTATATTAAAAATAGATTTAATATATGTTTAGTTAGTGGCTTAAAATAACGGAAGTTTAAAACGATTTATATTATATATATTATTAAAGCTAATTACCTCTGGGAAGCGCTTTTATATTGAGAGATAAAATAGGAATGTCTATACTAAGCTAATAAGCTAGTTAGGCTTATTATTAGTTTATTTTATAATATAAGGTTATTTTCGCTTATTGAAGAGCTTTATTAGAGCGGCTATTAGCGAATAGCCGTTTAATTTTTTTTTATTTATAAGGGCTTTAGTATTATAGATATTTTGTTAAGTAAATACGGAATTTAGGAGTTGTTTTTAAACGATAGTACGAATATCGCGGGCCTTAATATTAACCCAGCGGCTAATGGCTTTAATAGCGCTTTTAGTTAGTGGTATAAGCCTTTAATATAAAAGATATGCTAAGGAATTAAAGTTTAGCCTGTGGTTATATTAGGTATGCTTGGCTTTAATATACTGTTGTAAAAGCTAAGCGCCTTTTTTTTTTTATTTTAATAATAATTATTTATTTATAATTATATTTTTATAATTTTTGTTAATATAATTTTATATTTTTAATAGGCCGCGGTTTATTAAAGCGATCGTATTGAAATATATATTTTATCTTTTTATTTTTATATATATATTTATATTAACGAATAATATTAAACCCGTTCTTTTTAGTAAATACGTTAATTTGGTTGAATAAGGCGTCGATTATAGGCTTTAGGTTGCCGAGAATTTGTAGGTTTAGGATTAGGTTAGGTAGAGGCGAAGACGAGCGTTGACCTAGGGAGTAAGAACTTTGTAGTAATAAAGTTATTAAGTTTACTTAAGAATCGGCAAAAGGATATTTCGAATAGCGAAGAGGGGAATATAAGGGTAGGGGTGGTAAGGTAAACGTATTAAATAGGTATAGTAAATAACCTTATTTCCGTTATTATCGTCGAACTTATTTGAAAAAATTAAAGAGTTTTTTAATTAGTTGCTGCCTTTCCTTTATTACTTTTTTAACTAAGCGTAATATAAATTTAAACTTTTTTATAAAGGTAGTTTATATAGGTCGATGCTCCTCGTTTTATAAGGTAGATTTAAAAATAAAATACGATAAGAATAGACCGTATTTTGGGCTAAGTATTAGTATAATAACTCGATAAGTTTAAATAATTATTGTTAGAAATATTTTATAAAAAAAGATTTCGTAATTATTTTATATTTTAATAAGTGCCGCGTCGTTCCCGCGCGAGCTATAAGGTCGAATGACTTAATAAAACCGGTTTAGATAGGAAATAAAGATATTTTTAAGCGTATTATCGTTATTAAAGTTATAATAGTTATTAATATTTATATTCGAATTATTAATAATAAGAGGTTATAAAGTAAAAGAATATTTATTACGTCGCCGTTTTAAGTTAGGCTCGTTACTTGAGCTTAAGCTTTTAGTTCGACGTGGCGGGTTACGCTTTAGTAGCGGAGGGGCGGACTTGGGTATAAGGGATCTTAATATAGATAATATAGCGATAGAGCCTTAATTAGTTAATATAGACGACGCGTCGCGATTATATATTAAAGAAATTCTTAAATATTTTAGGTGGGACCGGTAGAATTAAGATAGGGTAATAGCTTTTTTAGGCTAATAATAGTGTGTAGTTGTTA